GTTGAAAAAAAAAGTACCATGAAAAAATATTTCTGAGATTTTTTTTCATAAAACTCGTACCAAATATAATAATTAAATTTTCTCCACCTCACTTCCCCATCATTCCATACCAAATACTCATACCAAACACCCTTTACAGTATAAGAAGATTCATTTCATATAACATGAAAAGTATGAAATCTATTGTTTTAAGATGTTTTTGTGTGGCCTTGGTTAAAACTACGAGGGAAGATATTTTTACTATCAAAATTTTCCACTACCAATTTACTACCAATCTAATCATCATTGGATCAAAGAGAGAGAATGCTAAAAAGTTTATGAATAGAGAGAAAATGTTGATCCAATAATAATTAGATAAATAGTAAATTGATAGTGAAAAATTTCCATAGTAAGAATATCCCTTCTCTAAAACTATTTATCGGACATAACAGCTTCCACTACATAGAATCCACTACATAGAAATCATTTTAACTATTTATTCAGCTCTCTTGTCAGTAATTTTCTTTAGGGGGTGTTTGGTTCAGGTTAACTTTTTTTTACTAGGGAAATGTAATTACCAGGGATCTGCAGGGAAACAGAGTTAGATAGAAAAGTTTAAAAAAGTTGTTTGGTTGGAGAAAATTTTACCAAAAAAATTGAGTGAAATTTCTGAATTTGTATTTGGTCGAGGATAAAATATTGATTGGAAAACTTATTAAAATTACAAAATAACCCTTTTAAAAATATCAACATATCCACGTAACCCTTTTGAAATTACAACCAATTATCCCAACGACAATATCATCATCTCCGAGGGAGTGATCATAGACAGTTTTGGCTTTTTGGTTATGTGAGAAAGAGCGGAATCGTTCTGTTCCTCCACGTGGTTGTTGTTGGATGCCATTATTGGAGAGTTTAGTTCAGTTGTGAAGGTGAAGATGACAATTTAAGAACAGGAACAGTAACTGGAACAAGAACACCATACGAGAAAGCGAAAGAGAGTGAGATTAGGGACAAGAGAGACAACTTTATGGGTGATGGAACACCATACAACAGGAACTGGAACTGAATCAATTTTTTGGGTTTCAGAACATAGATTGTGATTTACATATGAAAGTTGTCGCCGATGAGTGATGTATTGTGAAAAGTTGTTTGCTCACAGTAGGGTGACAATATGGGTTGAGCCTGGCGGGTCAACCCGCCAAAACGGGACGGGTTGGGTTGAGGTTTTCAACCCACCAACCCACCTCAATCCGCCCCGCCTAGAAGTGGGTCAAAACAGGTTCAACTTGCAGCGGGTTGACCTGTCGGGTTATATTTTTTTATTTTTTTTTACAATTAAGTAGTATTTCATTAGTCCTTAAATTTTTGTGATATTCAAATTTTTTTTATCTTCGTACTTCCTTGGAAAAAATAAAGAATAACAATTTTAATTATGATAAATGTTATCTATATATAAATTCCTAAAGAATGTTTGACAAATATTAGCATACATTTAAGATTGAGACTAAAAAAATATAAAGAAGTGTAAAATAAAATAAAATAATATTAAAAAAATACATAAAATATAATTTATTTTTGAATTTTAATTAATTTTTTTTAATTGGCGGGTTGGTGGGTTGACCCGCCAACCTACCATAAAACAGAGTGGGTTCATTTTTTCAACCCATATTTTTTGACGGGTCAACCCAAATTACCACCCCTAGCTCACAGGGGTAATCTTGTCACAGTTTGTATCACTTTATCAACTTACTCAATTTTCAGAAAAAATACCATGTTTCAAGTTGCTTTTGTAATAGTGGTTTTGTTCCTTTTTTAACATGTAATTGTAGATAGCTAGGCACTGAGAGTGATGGGTAATATTTATGAAATTCTTCTACCAAACGTGGAGAATTAAGAATGCAGAAATCACTTTGCTAAGAAACTACTCAAAACTTCTTAACCACACACCACCTTAGAGAATTAATGAATATCCGGTCATTATAATTAATAAATTAATTTCTTTCAAAGTTTCGTATACCTAGTTGTTTAAGCTTGATTGTCATTTCTTTTTATAAACAAAAAAAGCTGCTGAGTACAAAAAAGTTGTGTATCATATTCTTATAGAAGTGTGATTCTCCAGCAAAAGTCCAATTTATCCTTTTGTAAGAGTACATGCACTTTGGTTTTCAAATTTAAAAAGTGTGCAACATAATCTTTAACAAACATGTTATTTTATCTATCTATTTTTCTTTTATACCTTTTTTTTTCTTTTTGATATAATCTGGAGAGTATTCTCATTTAACCTCCTCCAGTCAACTTGTCCTCATAGTACGGCCCGAAGGCTACCTCCTCATTGAAACAACATGTGCATTGAGCTTCGCTATCGGAAGAAGCATGAAACTAATTCTTCCTTTGAGGAGAGAGGATCATCCTCCGATCCTCAAAGATTTTTCAAGAATTTGTTTGAGACAAGGTTTGAACTCCTGACTCAAACAAATCTTTGAAAGCTCAATTGTCAACTGACCTACTCTTGAAAATTTTCTGTGTATCTTTATTTACTATTTTCCAACACTATTAAATCAAAATGTCAATAAAAGAAAAAAATGATAAAGATAGTTGAGATTCTAATTTAATGATTTTAAAAAGTGATAAGCAAAAAAAATATATAGATAGAATAGCCTATTCCAATATTTAAACTTCATAAAATATGTGTTTTAGGGGACGTTTGGTTCAGGAATTTTTTTTGGAATAATAGGGAAATGAGATAGATAGAAAAATGATTGGAAAGATAGATAAAATGAAATAAGTAGAAAAATGTAAAAAAAGTTGTTTGGTGGGGAAAACTTTACTGGGAAAATTAGGTAACTTTATGAAATCAACAGTGCATTAAAAGCCAGATAACCGGTTTTCCGAAAAATCCCACCTTCAAATTGGGTTTCTAATCAGTGCGGATATCTATGTTTCTCATAAATCCAGACAAATTAGATATATGAGTTTTTGGTAAAAAACGTTGAAACAAACATGATGTTTCTAAAAGCCATACCTGAGAAAGATAGATATCCGCTAAAAAGCTCCCAACCAAACACTACCTTACTGTTTTCATCTAATATCCAATTAAAGATTAGCTAACGTTGTCATATTTTATTAAGTTTCAATACTTAATCTAACATATTATGAAGTTAAGAGAACACGAAAAGTTTTAGTATAGGAAGACAAAAAAGGGAGAGAGTACAAAGAAAGATTCAGACAAAGAGGTTAATGAGCTCACCTGATCCACTGATAACACTGACATCCCATAAGATGATCTGGGCTAGATCATTGTTTTAGTACAGGAAGACACACAAAGGGGGAGAGCACAAAGAAGATTCAGACAAAGAGGTTAATGAGTTCACCTGATCGACTGATAACACTGACATCCCATAATAAGATGATCTGGGCTAGATCACATTTCAATGATTCACTCGTTGATACATGAAGCACGCTGTCAACTTTTTTGTTGTGCGGCGAAGGCGGGAAATATTTTTACTGTAATAGTGGAACTGACTATTTTAATAAGAGTTTTATAAGAATTATGTTATAGGAAAAATGATTGTGTAATATTATAAGAATTCGTTTTGCGTGTCTTAATTTTTTTTTTTTTAAAATGTGTGAGCTCCACAAAATATTGTGTGTGTAAAAAAATTTATTGTGTCATGTTAAATGACAAATACAAATCTCATTTGATAAATACATAATTATAATATTAATTTTTTTTTTTTGCTCTCTTTATAAATTTATCAACTGACATGAAAAGAAAAAAACAATCAAATATATTCTTCGAAATACATAATTATAAACTTATAATAATACTGCCACACTGAACGACGGTTGTACTAAAAACTATCTTCTGATGGTGGGGCTTTCAAGTAAAAGCCGCGCATATATGCGCTCAGATCAGAAATAAGAATCTAAAATCAGAATCAGAACCAGAACAAGAGCTTCGCTCAAGGCTCAATGATCTGTCATCCAGCCAAACCCCGAGGTCAAACTCTACCTTATAATCAGCTTTACAGGATGCCATGGCCACTAACCTTGATAACTCATAATCAGAACAAATTGCTTAAATAAACATCCTACTAATTGGTGCAAACTAGCAACGCATCATTTGAAATTAGAATTGTGGTGGAAAGCACTGTGGGGACTCCCAATCAAAGTGATCTGTTTGATCTTTTCTTCTTCTTTTTTTACCCTTCATGTGTGGGGAAGTACATCGTGGCTTCACACTACATAGACATTGATGAACCTGTCCTCCCTCGTTTGGGCCCCCCCAAAAGATTTATTTATTTTTCTTGAAAAAAATTGAAAAGCTAAGTAATCGAATTTGATTATATTATGATTAAGAACTATATTATATGTATGGAAAGTGACGGAAGCATTATGTCATCCTTTGGCGTTAAAGAATGAATGACGCCGACGACGAACACTCTATCTTTTACCTTTGTGAATGGGAATAAACGTAAATAGATTACTCCGATGCTAGCAATAGCATATAGCATAGATCACGTCTCAATCACCTTCTATTATGATCCAATACAGAATTACAAATGCCCCAGAACCAGACACAATATAGATTGGGGGATCTTAATTCTCCTGTGCTTCAATCATACTCTCTAGCGTTTATTTTTCCATGTGCACTTCGTACTCCCAAGCTTAATCAACAATTAAAAAGCAAAATACATTGAAACCCTTACAAAGTCCCTTGTTTTTTTTTGGTGAACAAAAGTCCCTTGCTTTATCTCTTCCTGAAAATTACAAAATGATAGCAACACCCTTCGATTTCGATGAATTATCTACCCCACTGACTAAACAGTGAACACACCCTCAAAATGATAACGAAAGCAAACGAAATTGGCAATTAATAAAATTAACCTTTTTATAATCTACTAATTTGATTTCAAGATGGTCTCAACCTTCAAGCCCCATAACATTTTATTATCTCATTATTTAATATATAATCCTTTTTCTTAACCCTATGTACAATTAAAGAAGCAGAAGGCATAGTTTCTTTTTATTATTATTACTTGAAAAAAGAAAATAAAAGATAAGGATTTAGTTTCTCTAAATTAATTTTTTTTTGGAAATATGGTTTGAACTTTGAAGTACGACCCTGCAATATATGGATTATGCAAGAACCTTGAGAGTAAAACAAAAGATATTGCACAAAGAACAACCGTTACAGATCACTTGGTGACTCTGAAATGCTCTCCAAGTGAGGCCTCCACACAGCTACACGTCCTCTTCTTCTGTCTCTCTGTGTAGAAAGTTTCTCGGAGAGTATCTCAGTCAAGTATTGATCAGAGGACACGAGCAAGTTCGCCATGGAAATGGTGCTACCCTTATTATTATTGTTGTTGTTGTTATTGTGGAGGCTGTTACTTCTGCAGTTGGTACTCTCTCTCTGCTCCTTCCTTTTCTTTTTTCCCGACGATCTCTGGCGGCGGTTCTTCTCCGACGGCGGAGAAGGGACTGGCATGAGGAAGTAAATCTTGCCACGTTGAAGCTCTGCGTCGGGTGGGACGATCACGATCTTGGGGACGACGCCGTCTTGTGTGGAGGGAGATGATGGTTTCTTGAGGACATGTTTTGGGTGTGCTTTCATGACGTCACTTGCCTTGATGGTGCCACTGATTTCTTCTACGCGGCCATTCGAGTGCACTATGCGGATTACGTCAAGTGCTCCACATGGAAGAATGCAAGAGATCCAACACCTTATGGTGTTTCTCATGGCTTCTTCTTCTCTCTCTTTTTCTTTTGGTCTCTCAATTCTCATAGAGAGTAAGAGAGAGAGAGAGAGAGAGAATTTGAGATTGTGGTCTTTTTCTCTGTTTTAGTTAATGGAGTGGGAATCAGTCACATAAAAGAATTTTGTCCCAAAATGATGCATTTATTTTTCTTAACTTTTTTTTTATATATATACACTTTTTTTGTCCACTTTTGAATGGATGGGAGGAATATTTTTCCATGCTTGCTTTGGGATGAAATTCATGGTATGAATAATTGCATAACACTCTGTAATTCGGCTTTTGATCCATTATTTAGGGCCCCTCACACACACACACACACACACTCTTTCCTATAGAATTCATTTGTATTAGGTTGGGAATGAAAGGTTGGGATACTCATAAGCGACACATGGTATGGGGAACGATGGGGACTGCTTAGCAAGCAAAAATTTGAACCTTTTGAATGTGTCATGGCTGGATGTGCGTGTATCAATCAAAGGTTGACACTTGTCGGCCAATAATGAATATTTACACTGGGTTTAGGTGAGGAGGCTGTTGATGTAGGGTCAATGAGAGAGAATGAGAGATAATATATATATGTTTCAATTCAAGTTGAATGGGAGAAGGGGAATGGGAATTGGGGTTAATAGGAGAGGAGACCTTCTTTTGAGAGGAATCTGTGATCTATCAATTTCCCCAAGCAAGATCATGTGGGTTGTGGTTTTCATTGGAATGGTTTTTAGGTTAGTGAAGTGCTTTGACTAAGGCCAAGGTGTTTTGTCTACTAGCCAAATCACCAAAATCATCTTTAGTTCACTTCCCCTTCCAAATCCCTTTCACGGTTCTTTCTTTTCATATATGGATTTATTATAGGGATCTGTCTGCATGGGTCGAATCGAATCAGATTTTTTGAAAAATTAAATTGAATTGGTTTAAATGGTTCGGTTTGGAAGTGGTTCGGTTTGATTCAAAATTGGTTCGGTTCGGAAGTAGTTTGGTTCAGTTGGAAACGGTTCAGTTCGGTTCGGAACCGGTTTGGGTCGACCCTTTTTAAAAAGAAAAAAATTTAAAAAATAAAGTTATAAAAATCAATTTGGTTCGGTTCGAAAACGGTTCAGTTCGGTTCAAAATAATTCGGTTCTTAAACTGGTTCTAAAAACCGAATCAGTTCATGAACTGGTTCTTTAAAAACCGGTTCGGTTCATGAACTGGTTCTTTAAAAATCGGTTCGGTTCATGAACTGATTTTTAAAAACCGGTTATTTTATGGATGGTTCGGTTCATGGTTCGATTCAATTTTTTAATTATTTTGCACCCCTGATTTATTATCTTGGTCTTATTTCCTGCACCATACATAGAATTTATTTCACACCCACCTATTATTTTAATACTGAAGTCTCTGTCTTATGTACTAAAACTAAAAAAATATTATGACTCACTTAATTATTTTTATTTCTACTATTTTTTAATTGTTAATGTTGTATGAGTCTCACTGGTTTCTAATTTTAGTAAAAAAAGTATATAAAATACTAAAATTTACTCTAAGGTAAAAATATAGTTGCTAATAGTTAAACAATATCTGTACATTACAAACTCATTTCGGGGCTGAAACTTGGTCAGAGATCTGTCTTAAATATGGTTCAATCTCAAAATTTTGAAACCTAAATATATTCGACAAATTCTTGTGTAAATATTGTCATTGTTATTACTCAAGTCGATGTTAAATATACTAACCCGTATCAAATCATAAAGACACATACAAACTACTCATAATTACTTAGTAGTAAGAGGATTGAGTAATTTATAGAAGGTTATAGGTTTAAATTTTTATGTGCTCTTTGAAAAAAAAATTAGAACATTCATTTTTTGGACATTATAAGGAATTGAACTGCATACTTAATACACGCTAAACACACCCAACACCACTAGGCTATCCCTAGTGGTGCAAAATTAGGACATTCATTGCGTACCAAAAATAAAATAAAAATAACACTTACAGGTTATAAAATAATTAATGTCCTTCCGTATGTTTTATCTTTTGTTAATAAAGGGGGGAAAAATCAACTTCAAAATATAAGAAAAGACTTAACAAATTAGCTCCATTAGTCCCTTAGTCAGTTCCCTTCCAAAACACCTACTACTTTAGTATCAAATATTTACTAAAAAAAAGTTAGACATTCAAATTACTAGTAGTGAGTTAGTGGTAAAAAATTTGGATGTTTGCATGAGGATATAAATTCAAATCTGAAAGCCATCATCATATTCAAAAAAGTTGATGAGTTGAGATTAGAGTCTGTTTGATTGTGTTCTGGTTTTTTTGTTCTTAAAACTATTTTGTAAAATAGTTATGGAAACAGTTGTTTTTTATATTTTTTAATTTTTAAAAGTTAAAAATCTAAACAGAAAACAAAAACAACTCAAACATGTTCTCTAAATTTGATTCTAAATACAAAAAACAGTTATAGTTTTTAAAATATTTTTTAGAAAACAAGCTTTACCAAGCGAGTTTTTTAATTTTTTTGTTCTGAAAACTAAAAAACTGTTTTTAAAAACAATAATCAAACTAAAGGAGCGTTATTCTGTTTTATTCCTTATTAACATGAAAAGCGAAGGTCGAAGTGAAAGTACAAAACAATGAAAAGAGGAAAATCATGACCTGAAATGAAATGTTTGTGCTAATTAATCTTCCAACGTTGTGAATTTTGGGTGATTGATATATAATTTAAGATCTTTATTAATCTCATGTTGTAGGAGAGTAATTCTTTCACTATAAATACAATTATAAATGAGATTCATTCATTTATAAAAAATAAAAAAATAAAAATTGAATTACACAAAAATTAATAAATATATATATAAAAAATTACTCTCCAATAATATGAGAATAATTTTTTTCCATAATTTATATTTACTATCATGTTAGCCTATCTCCTCCAGGTAGTTAAAAATATGAGATATACTTTTCTTATGTTGCATGAGATAAAAACACAAAAAAGTTAATAGAATTCACTTTTTTCTTTCTTTTTTTTTTTTTAGTAGATCCCACTCACTTTTTATGTGTTGGATGACATAATTTATCTCATGCAACATATAAAAAAAATATTTCCTTAAAACTATTTGGATGGTTTAATTGCTGGTTCATTTTTAGCAGTCCCATCCTTAACGTGGCCCCCTCATTTAATAGGTAGAGATGTAGTGTAGATGTTAGTGGAAACATGTGAAGTAAGGAGAGGCGGGTCGATACTCGGAGAGGCCGGAGGGCTTATTTTTTATATTCTATATGTGCGCCGTATGAGTACAATATTGGAAGCTGAGATTAAATTTCACATTGTTATCATTGACACATTTTGAGAATGTCTTAGATGGATTCTTGTTAAAATCTTAATTTATCACTATAATTTTATGTTCTTATGATTTTTTTTATTTAAATAATTTTACTAATATTCCAAACGCTTTTACGTTTTTATGATTTTTTACGATTTTTTTACATTACGATTTTACGTTTTACAATTTTTTAATCCTCTTTTGATTTTACTTAAGATCTCGATTTTAACAACATTGTTAACGTGTTTGCTAGATTAATTATATCCCGAATATCTTCTCAAGTAATAAGTACCATAAGTTCTGAATGAAATGGGATTTCGGTTGAACTGTGTTTAACTATTGCATAAAATATTGGATCAATTATAATTTGACTATAACAGAGAAAAGACTACCACTTCCTTGCCTCTTGCCTACTTCCTCTAGGAAAATTTTCAGCTAGGTGGTTGAAAGAACGTAGTTAACTGACAAGAGTTCCACACAAGGTTTAGAAATTACCACTAGTACTTATCAATATTTCCACAAATAAGCATCCATCAATAAAATATAAAACCCCATCGACAAAATCATTTTTTAAAGTATTAAACCCTACTTAGTCTAGGGACAGTCTTAATAATCACTGAAGCGGAACTAAGAGATTCTCATTAGAAAATATCAAGAGAGTAAAAGAAAATGATTCTCATTTTAGAGATTTTGAATTTTCCATCTGAACTTAAAAAGCAAATATATTCCTATCAAGTAAACTAATACTCATACCTTCCACTCTAAAACAAAATGACAACTGTTGTGCTATCTAATTTAGTAACCCTTTTAATGTTGCTTCCTTAGAATAGCCTTGATCCTATTCACAATTCTTACTCCATAATGCAAGTAAAGTTTGCTTTTATAAAAAAATAATAAACTAAACTAACCAAACAAATTATATAATAATTGCTAACTCATAATGTAATGTATTCTTGTGAGAAAGGAAGGAAACATGAAAATACTTCACTTTGATACTTTCTTGGCTTTAGCTTTTATCAACGAACAATAAGTATTAGTGGATGAAAAATTGAAAATGAAAGGAAAAAATTTCTTGCCCAGAAAGGTTGTGCCAGTACACAATTATTGATTAGGAAATAATCATAGTCGTTTTGTCAAGCATTCTTCAAAGATGAGTGGATGACTATAGTCTTTCAATTTTGCAAAAGGACATCTAATTATTTGTAGAATAGAGCAAAGAAACCTCAAGCATTATTAATGAGATTTGTTAGAAAGGCTCCAAATCCATCCAGCTGAATCCAATCAAAAAGTCTTTCAGAAATCAAGGGATTGTGCTTAATTGGGTGCCCCACAAGCAGCTGATCACAAACCAACTTTTTATTTTATGGTCAGCTGCTCTTGTATTCATAAAGGTTAAAGAAAAAAAAAAAATCAGTCAAGCTTTTGTATATAAATGTGTGTGGATAAAGAACAAACTACCAAGAGAAAATAATAAGGACAAAGGACAAGAATGCAACAACCCGAAACACTCTGACAAAAACATCATTGACTTCTAACACGTTCGAATTCTCTGCATTATTCAGGTGATGTCTTCAATTTATCCTCAAGATATAACCTGTTTGTAAGAAAATTTCTCTAGTTATTCAGTTAAAACCCATTGGAGTCATTCTTTACCGTTACATATTGCAAAAGGAGAACAAATTGTGAATTTTGAGCATATCAATACCAGTTTTGGCATCTCTTCCTCCTTTCAGCCCTTTGTACTTGCGAGTTGCCAAAGAATTAAATTCATCAATTAATTCATGATATTGAGATATGGGAATGTTTGAGACCAGGAAAGAAAAACAATGGGGGAGGGTGTGACATGAGGGTCAGGTCAGATTGGGCCTAGTCTTAAATGTTGATTAAGTTGTGTTATTTCTATTATTCCCTTTAGTACAAAAAGGGGCAGATGTTGTGTTTTTTTTTGTGGGTGGGGGGACATAGAATGGCTGAAAATGTAAAATTAGTTTTAAGTCATTAAGAAGGATTAAACTTTTTTCATGTTAAAAGATTTTTTTCTTTCTCTTATACATATAAGAGACTTGCGAGACTTACTGAAAAGAGAAAAGAGAAAAATAAAATAAAAGTGAGTCCACATGTCTTTTATGTGTAAGAGAAAAAACTTTTTTCTTTTAGCATGAGAAAAGATTAACTCCTTCAAGAATGATTTAATAATAATTTTTTTGATAATGTATAAGAGGTTGTAGATTCAAATCTTAGTCCCACTGTTACATATAAAAATGAAATAAGTTTTCTGAATAGCTTGCTTCTTAATCCAACATCAATTCAGTGCGGTCCTTAAATTAGTTTGATATACATTGCCATTGGCATTTTAGTCTATACATCTAAGAAACAGTGATCTTATTTAACTTTATTTACAATCATAATGGAAAAATGTGTCTAACAACTTCTAGAAATAGCATTAAGGAGGAGCTCAATTTAAAAACAATAAAAAAAAGTAGCACCTCTCTTTTTTTAGTTGGAAAATGTTTAGGTTAAATGAAGGCTTGTGCTCTTATACAGTTTTTTTTTTTCTTTTATTGTTAATGAACCCAAGTGATTTAGCAAATGTATAAGATTGATTAGGTAAGTTAATCATCTGTTGGCAAGTATTAGCTCAATTTAATTAATTGTAGAAAAAAAGTATAAGGCAAAGATATACTTAATCATTCTATTGAAATGGGCCTGCATTTGTTGGACACCTGTTTGTTGCTTCTCTCAGTGCATATAAATCCAATTGCTAAACTGGGCATAACTAGGGACATATATCCAATAGACTCACAACAGCTTTTGTTTCACAGTCAAGCTTTTAACATAAACAGCCACTAATCAAATAAAATTGCATAGATTGATGGGGCCTTAGGCCCTTCCATGTATAAAAAAATAAAATAATTGCATAGATTGATATTTTGGCATTCTAGCTAGGAATCAAATAGTATAGGTTGCATGTTCAATAAATGACTTAAATTTATTATTTTTTGGTGAAATTAAATATATTATTTATTAATGAGATTCCAATATAATTTCATTCAATGATAAAGAAATATTTTAAAAAATATATTGTTGATATATTTCTTTTAAAAACTTTCCTTTTGCCAACATACCAGTCCATGTGGCATCCATCCCCTTTTAATCATTAACAAGTTTTATTTGTTAACAAATCATTTCTAATGAACGTTTTTATGAACGAGATGATAAATCGGTTACTAAATAAACGAAGAGCTAGTTATCAGCCTAATAATTTTATCCTTTTAAACTAGGGATAGGATATTGTGACAACTAAATAATGTTACTACTAATATTACTACCACATCTTAGGTTATCATTTTTTAATTCAAACTAATTAATTAATTATTAATTCGCATTATTAATTAATTATTAATTCGCAATAAATGATAACCATTGATTGACGGAAATCAACGGTTAAGATGTAGTAGTAACATTGATAGTAACATTATTTGGTTGTCAGAATATCATATTCCTTTAAACTAAATTAAATATTTTTTTGATGATTCTATTTTTAATAAATAATTAAATTAAACAAATTTAGAATAAAAGGTAAAATAATTTTTTAAACAATAAATATTAACGTAGTCAGTATTACTTGCAAGTAATTATTATCTAATAAAAAATAATTAACTAATCAATATTGGTTCCTTGTATAAATAAAGGGTTCGCTTTTTCTGCGGTTATTGCAAATAACTTATCTGCAGTAAGTCAATACGACGTCGTTTTGGGACGGAAATCATGGTGTTTTTGTAATTTTAATTTATTTCACAGTTATAATAGTCTTTATATTTATAATTTTTTAAAATTTCAATACCAAAACGACGTCGTTTTGAGAATAAATGCAGATAACTTATCTGCATTAACTGCAGAAACATTTCCCCCATGTATTAAAAAAAAAACATTTTCCCCATAAATAAAACTAAAAGTCCTAAATATTTTATGGGTTCGCTTTTTCTGCAGTTACTGCGTATAAGTTATCTGCAGTAAATTCAATACGACTTCGTTTTGGGACGAAAATCATGGTGTTTTTATGATTTTCATTTATTTTAGGATTATTATAGTCTTTATAATTATAATTTTTTAATCATTCAGTCCCAAAACGATACCGTTTTAAAAGTAAAAACAAATAACTTATTTGAAATAAGTGCAGAAATATTTTTCTCATGATTTAGATTTATTTGGTTTTAAATATTTACAAAAGAAGGTAAGAAGGTAACTTATCCTTTAGATAGCATTATATTTATTTTAAAAGAGAAACGAAAATAAAATAAAATTGAAAACTCAGAACCAGATGTGCTTAAACCTAGGCGAAATCAAATCCTCAATAGATTCTAGGATTAGTGAATCTAGAATCATCCGCAAAATTAAGAAAATTGATGACAAATTGATCATGCAATAGCAATCACACTCTTCATTCTCCACCAATCCAAACCCAAACCAAATCCAAAACAATGCCCGTTTTCCAAACCCCATTCAACGGTTACGCCGTCAAGTTCAGCCCTTTCTACGAGAACCGCATCGCCGTCGCCACCGCACAGAACTTCGGAATCCTCGGCAACGGCCGCCTCCATGTCCTCGACCTTTCACCGGCGCCCAACCTCCCAATCTCCGAGCTAATCGCCTATGACACCGCCGACGGCGTCTACGACATCACCTGGTCCGAATCACACGACTCCGTCGTGGTCGCAGCCGTCGCCGACGGCTCCGTCAAGCTCTACGACCTAGGCCTCCCACCCACCTCGAACCCCATTCGCTCCTTTCACGAGCACACCCGAGAGGTTCACTCCGTCGACTACAACCCCGTTCGCCGTGACTCCTTCCTCTCTTCCTCATGGGACGACACCGTCAAGCTCTGGACTTTGGATCGCCCCACCAGCGTTCGAACCTTCAAGGAACACGCTTACTGCGTTTACTCCTCCGTTTGGAACCCTCGTCATGCTGACGTCTTCGCTTCCGCTTCCGGGGACTGCACGGTTCGAATCTGGGATGTTCGTGAACCCGGTTCGACCATGATTATTCCGGCTCATGAGTTTGAGATATTGGCTTGTGATTGGAACAAGTATGATGAATGTCTTATTGCCACCGCTTCTGTGGATAAGTCTATTAAGGTGTGGGATGTTAGGAACTATAGAGTTCCCATTAGTGTGCTTAATGGGCATGGATATCCTGTCAGGAAGGTCAAGTTCTCGCCGCACGTGCGGAATTTGATGGTGTCTTGCTCTTATGATATGACGGTTTGTGTTTGGGATTTCATGGTGGAGGATGCGCTTGTGAGTAGGTATGATCATCACACTGAGTTTGCTGTTGGGGTGGATATGAGTGTGCTTGTTGAGGGGCTTATGGCTAGCACTGGATGGGATGAGCATGTTTATGTGTGGCAGCATGGAACCGACCCCAGGGCACCTTAAAAGGGAAGGTAGAATAGAATTTTGTTTTGTTATTGTTGGTTTTCTTTTTTGTGGGAATTTCCAATAGCTTCGGTGATATGATTCAAATACTGAATTCTGGGATTCGTGTGGTTCTCTTGTTGTATCTATGTTTATGATGAACATGCATACATCCCTTCCATTGGTTATCAAGAATAATATACCAAGGGATTTCTAATAGAAAAGATTGCCTGCCGAGGAATGAAATGAATGACTTGTATATTGATTTTGATAAACATAATTTTATTGTTTATGATGGTTCATAATTATTCCCTTGATGAATCTTGGTTTGAATTTTGCTGCTTCCTTAAAGTGAAAGAGAGAATTTTGCTTGCTACATTGCTTGTCAGTATATCAGTATGCCGTTTGTGTTTGATATTTTTTGTGGGGAGCTATTAGTCTCCTGTTCCTTCTCTGCCTCCCAAAACAGCTTAGTTTTATCTAAGCCAGAAGGATTGGGTTCTCTATTACTTGGTTCCTGGAGCTTGTAAATGCTGATGCCAATATCAATTGACATGTTGATTCTAGAAATTTAGTGCCTTGTCTAAGGAAACTCTTTAGCTTAGGTACTTTTGTTTCCTAGATCTTTTATGTGTCATATCTACGTCTTGTGTATTTACAACTATCAGATACAGAAATTTCTCACTGTTTTCCTTTTTGAGAGGGATAGATTGCGGTACTTGATTGTTCAAGCTTCCAACTGTTTCTACATAATTAAGTTTTAGAGGCTTTGAGTTTCTTATATGTTAATTCTTTCTTTTGCAACTTCCATTCTTGTGCTTAGATTGTTCATTGTTCAGAACTTTAAATGGAACCTAAAAAGAAGAATTGTTGGAACTTCCAGAATGGGCAAGAAGCAAGATGAAGTTAGATTTTGTTCGTAATATTGGAGCTGAGTCACCCACATGATGAGTTTTGCCAATTCTGGATGCCCTACCTTTGTGTGTGTAAGTCTAGATTGTGTTGAACTTTCACTTTCTTTGTTGTTTATGCCATGGTCTATATAATGTGCCCTAGTACCGCTGCCTTGGTTTTCTACTTTTCTATATTTTATCTAAAATAGAAGGTTTTCTTGCAAAGTAAAAAATGAATATAGTGTGTTTAACTAATCTTTCCTCATTTATATAAGCTTCAAGTAACAGATTATTATTATATAATAATTCACTATAATGAGGTGCTCTTGAAGGTTGAAATAGTCTGGTGCCATGGTGAGTTAGAAATGGCAACTTGATCTAATAGTAGTATCTTGATTTTGAAAATGACAACTTGGAAAAAGAAAGATTATAGAATAGTTATTACATAGCTAATTGGTTGTAAGGGATTTAGAATTCTTGATTAGTTTTTCCAATTAGAGTTAAGAAGAACTCCAGCAGATATCAAACTAAAAAGGTTACAACTGTAAAAAGAGAAAAGAGAATGCAGTTACCTAACAATTAAGTTTTCTTGGGGGAGTATGTTTGGATTAGCTTATTTTTGTCTTCAAAATTATACTCAAAATCTTTCTGTGAGAGTTTTTGGAAAAATGTCGATTTCCCCCTATAATTTAAGCAAATCCACACATGTTGGTTTTAGCAGTTCATCAATCAGAAGAATTAACCACAGAAGATATTAGTGATATACAATTTTCGAATGTGTTATCCACATTACACATAATCAAATTTCTTAGTATGAAATGAGATTGTAACCTTCAGCTTTAAATCCTACTTCTTTTCTCCCTTAACCTTCCATACAATGGGGTTTTATTGTCCCTGTGGTACTTTCTGGAATATAAGAGATTGATCTTATACCTCTAGCTCAACTTAGTCTTCCCTTAGCACTGGGTTGTGCTTAAGTTGTAAAATTGATTGTTGGCTTATTTAGAATAGGAGAAGATCTTAGATTATAGTTATAGTAAGTAGGTTTGAAGCTATGTTGCACCGTCACCGGTATGGGACACGAGACACGACACGACACTCCGACACGTCAATTTTAAAAAATGTTAGATTTCGACATGTTAAGACACATTTTGATATTTAATAGTATTTTTAATTTATGTAGTGTATATTATATTTAATATTCAATAATTAAAAAAAAATGAAGCTAAGCTTATAATACCCATTGATTTTGCAAAGAAACATAAGATATCCAAAATATTTATATTAAACTCAATAAAATGGTAATTGTAATCAAATGAATCTAATAGTTGGAATTAAAAACGCAACGCAAACTTTAAATCCCTTTTTTGAGTCTATGCAATGTGTATTGGAGTGTCGGAGAGTGTCAAAATGTCAGGGAGTATCGGACACGACACGTCAGGATTTTTGAAGTGTCAGTGCATCATAGGTTTGAAGTCATGTATATGCGTACTAACTTCAGTAAGTAATGTATAATTTATCAATAAATCTTTTTTATTTAAACACAAAAAAATAAAAGGAAAATAAATCTTACAGCAGTTATCAATCATGTTTGTTGTCTCAATTTTTGGAAATTAGTTGACAAAATTTGAAGTGCGAATATTTTATATGTCATGGGAGTTGCTATGATACCAATAAGGTTATTGTACCTGAGGCGAGTTTTCAAATCTTTGTTGGTTGTTAGTTTTAGTATAAAGTTTGAAAATTATTTAAATAAAATCGGCAGGCAATAGATGCTTGACAACTCACTTTGGGTAGTGATATACCCTTGAAAAAAAGATGGGTACTAGAGTAATTCCTATAAGCTATGGTTGATTGGCTTTTGAATTCCCATTTCTTTTTCTTTTGGTAAAATATTGTGAATTTTTGTATCATTGGCAACTAGAAGATGAAAACAAGACATACTTAGCGTAGAAATAGTTATGTTGGAAAAAATTTACTAATCTTTTGATATGTATAGTGTATAACGCAAATAATACCCTAAGAAAAAATATTATAAAAGAGGGAAATTCACTGAAACAGTCACCCCTCCAATCACTGGGGCTTAAGCAAATATGCCCCTCTCCTTTCAACTTTTATGTACTCTCTGTTAGTTGATTTGTTTTGCTACCATCTTTATGCTTGAATTATCGTACCACCACTTATCTCATTGATTCCTAAGTGATGAATTTATGCTTAGAAGCCAAAATATTCTAAACTAGCCATGTCAAATTGACACAAAGGCAACTAAGGTATCCCCATAAATATTAATGTGAAAGTAACCGGTCGGTCTCTATGGTGACTAGAATGCCCTCCCAACAATGGCTTGTCCAGGGTTTGAATTTTGGTTCTCCTCCTAGTGTGGTTTTCTTACCAACGCATCTGATCCCTGTTGATAACAAAGGCAACCTAAGTAAACACATAAAAGAACTTCTTTTTCTCTTTTTTCTCACTTAAGAAACGAGAGAATTTAAGTTCTGAAAACTTAAGGAAGGTACCTGAAAGGTTTAGATATACAGAAGGTAGTAGGGGAGGGTATTCTTATAATTTCAAAGCAACAGCATGTAAGTTGAAGTAATTTACTCTCTAGATTTTATTTGTTTTTGTTTTCTTCATTTAGTTATTTGAATGGTTCCGTGGTTATTTTTGGTTAAAGCAACCCCAATATCCAAACGTGACTGTAATGCTTTTGCACTTTGTCAGATGTTTATGAATGGAGTTCAGATTATAGAAATTTCAGGGTTTTAAAACAAACTCAAAGAATCATTATTCTGGTTGAGTGGAGAATGGTTCTATGCAACTTGCGGTAGCTGAGATAACTATTTAAACAATGGATAACCAACATTTTAATGTTAACATTCTTGTTCATCCCATCCTCTCCTGTTTGATATGTATTTTCCCTTCATTCTACTTTCAATTTGAAAATCGTAGTTTATTCTCCTTAAACTTCACTTAAAAACTAGTCAAATTATGTCAAATTAATGTGACCGACCATTTCAGTTATGCATGATGAATAATGTTTGACAATCTGATGGATCTGATCTTGACATGGAAGTATTTATAGTTCTAGGTGAATTTTCTTTATTTGCTAATTCAGCAGACTTAACTTTTATAAGCTTTGAAACTAGTAAAGTCTAGTTGATAGATCTCTACACTATATGTCTTGTTTGTACATAAAATAAAGCATATAAATTCACATATGATGTCATACTAGCTGTTGAGTAACATTTTATCTTCTGGTGAAAGTAATCAGTTATGAGTTCCAGCTATTTGATGGAAAGCCATTCTAAGCCGCTAGTTAAACATGTTGTGGCACATGGTTTCAATCTAACAATGGTCTCTCTTGTAATGTGACTCTGGTACAAGTTAACTGCGGCCGAACTTTAGAACTTGGTGCCCTTGTGATATTAAGAAAAAAAATTCCGCTGTTAACATGTAGCTCTCCTTTTTTGGCCGTAGATTCTCATTCTACATGGTTAAACTAGCCACTTTAAGCTTACCATTACACCTTGCATCAGCTGAATGTCATGTGTCCTCTGACTGATAGCATAGGAGTTTCTACTAGTCGCTATCTGTACATTTGTAAATTGACATGGCCAGAATCGATTGTCTTATGCTCTCATCGCGTAAGCAACAGGACATGACCTTCTAATTGTTGTTTTCTCTCACCCATTTATTTTTACTTGGTCTAAAATCATGGTTTTACCATTATTCTAATATTTTCTCAAGTATCAACTTTGAATTCTGCTAAAATTGTAGGCACTTTTACGTTAAACATACATGTAATCTCACATTTTACTTGATATAATAGACTCTCATAAATTTTTTTAAATTAAAAACATTATCTGACTTGCTATTCAAAGCAAGTGTGATCTTGATGACATTTCATTACTAAACAGACAGGGACAACAATGATAACCATCACTAAAATATGTTATCTCTCACCCCAAAATTTTTGAAGCACTAAAGTGAAAGAAGCCAAACCGACCAAATCACAAAATAAGCCAAACCTCGAACCTGAAACCTTAACTTGTTGATGAATAAAAGCTCATGATTCTTTCCAATCTCTGCTATGGACCTAAAGTTACTAACAAAGCTGCAAGCCATGCTTAAGAGTCTCCATAACTCCAAACCTCTCATCAAACCAGTGTGGCTCGAGCCTTGTCCAAACCATAGATGCACCGTTACCTCTGGTTTGGTCCCTTATTAGACGCTTTGAGTATCCACAGGGTTACAAGAGGTTCGTAAAGAAATGCACCATGCTGGTTGGTGATGGTGCCATTGGGATCGAGCGTGCGTGAGATCATGGTTACGTCTGGATTGCCAGCTCGAGTTAGTGTTGAGAGGTTAGACAAGTTTGATGATGACAAGCATGTTCTCAAGTTTAGCATCGTTGGCGGGGATCACCGGCTTCTGAATTATAGTTCCACGATTACTTTGCATGAGGAGGAAGAGAATTTTGCGGGGAAGATAGTGGCGATAGAGTCTTACCTGGTGGATATTCCGGCGGGGAGTAGTGGCGAGGATACATGCTCTTTTGCTAATACCATTATAGGTTGCAATCTTAGGTCCTTGGCTAAGACCACGGAAGAAATGGTTCGTATGGCTCATTAAGACTTGCTTAGTTTGATGTGTTACTGTTGTTATTCTCTTTGTTTGTTACTCTATGGATCTACTAATTCCTATGTAGACTGAGATGTGTAGTTGTATGAGTTATGGATTTAGTACCTTATTTGATGTTTGACTTTGTCCATTTTTATTATTATTCTCTTTGTTTGTAACTCTTTAATTATGGATTTTATTAATTCCTATATGTATACTAAGATTGCTACGCGTAAGTGTATTAATCAAATGAAATTCATATTCTTTTAATAAGATCGAATCTAATATGTAAACATTGTAAATCCATCGTGATTCTGGATTGTATTGATCCCGAGTTTACTAAAACTTGTCAATAACTCAATATACGGCAACACTTTTGGACCTTTCCTTAGCATTTTAAGCCCTTCTAAAAGTACGTTACATCTTGGTCCTTGATGTGATTCTGTTATTCGGTTGTACATGTGACATAAAAAGATTGCAGATGACATTCAAAATGGCCATAACTTAGGCTCGCTTAGATGGCTCATGATGCCTACTCTTAGCAACCCAAAACCCTACGGGTCCAAAAGGTTAAAATAAATTGTATGATTCCCAGAATGAAGGTAAAGCAGATGAAATCATGCACTTATATGTTGGAATATCTGGCAGATTGTTTGTGTTTTCCTCCAATAATTAGCTGTATCAGTCACTTCATGGTTGTGATTTCCTAATGCTGTATTTTGATAGGAAAGGTTAAAAAGAGAATGTAATTATTAAGAGGATTTAAATGCTTTAATGAAAAATGTTGTTTTGTACACTCAGCATGATAATTTTAAAAATTCTTCAGTATTTTGATCGAGTATTTAGACCCTAAATAAGATACTTGAGGATATACCTAAATTGATAAAATTTTCAAAATCCTTCATCCATCTTAAAACCATTTTTTTTTTTTTTTTTGCTTATATCCAGTTTTAGACTTTTAGCCTACTTACATCTAGTGGTTGCAGCTATAGAGAGTTTCAAATACAAAACATTTATTCATGCGGGACAACACTGAACAGTGAACACACACCAAGTCTGGTGGCACCTAATGGCTAATGGCTTTCACTCTTCACTGCCAAAGAATTTCTATTGTCAATAATCTGCCACTTCCTGTCATATATGACATATACCACCAAACATTATTCACCAGCTTTGACTTTTGTCTTCCGTGCTAATTCTCAATCTAACAGTCCAAGTTTACCATACAAGTTTGAGAACACATGCACCGTTGACTGTTAGATTTCCTGATCCTTTTGTACGGATACACTCACCAGTCAAGGTTTCAAACTAGCAGGACTAGTAGAACCACCTAAAGAAAAAGTTGGTACTAAAATTAACAGTGATGATTTATCCGAAAAAATAAAAAATAAAAAATTAACAACTGTTGAATTCATTCATAAATGCCAAATTGCCCATTTATGACAAATCTACTTGATCTTTTCTAATTTTGAAGTTCCGCAAAAAGTTTAAGAAAGATGGCAAAAGACCAAAATGCAGATTCTTCTTGAGCTGACTGGTAGGCGTGGTCATGTATCCAATTTCACTTAATAATCCATGTTATAAATATAAAGATGGTAGGGGATCAAACATCACTGATAACCAGTGGAGAAAATGGGTTCCATTCAGAAAAATCAATTGGTTCTTTTTTTCCTTGTCTGGGGTTCATGGGCATTTCTATGTTATGGTCTCCCAAGTGAGTACTCCATATTAGCCCTTCAACTTGACAAGTTTCCTTCGGAGGAACGAGTGGTTGAGCTTTTCCAACAATGGAGGGAGGAACACCGTAAGTTTTACAGCCACCCAGAAGAAGCAACGATAAGGTTGGAGAATTTCAAGAGGAATTTGAAATACATCGTAGAGAAGAATGCAAGAAGAAATTCTCCCCACGGGCACCGTCTTGGATTGAACCGTTTTGCTGATATGAGCAATGAGGAGTTCAAGAATATGTTTATTTCAAAGGTGAAGAAGCCAATTAGCAAGAGGAATAGTCTCGCCAATATTGGCTTGCATGTTAAGGATGATTCCTGTGAAGATGCACCTTACTCTTTAGATTGGAGGAAGAAGGGAGTTGTGACTGGTGTGAAGGACCAAGGCGACTGTGGTAAGCTTCTATAGTCTATGCTCTATATTCTATTCCTAATTGACAGTGACACAACTATAGATATGAAAAGAGTTATGATTTATGTTTTTTCTATGTATGTTTGTGACTTATGTGGGCTTCTCTTCATATCAAAACTTACAACTCTAAATTCCCTTTTCTTTTGAACTACCATTTTGCATATCATATAAGTTTATATGATTCAATTTTTTAGGTAGTTGTTGGGCATTCTCTTCCACTGGAGCCATGGAAGGAATAAATGCAATAGTCACAGGGGACCTTATAAGCCTTTCGGAACAAGAACTTGTGGATTGTGATAGTACTAATGATGGATGTGATGGAGGCTACATGGATTATGCTTTTGAATGGGTTATAAACAATGGTGGAATCGACACAGAAACTAATTACCCATATACTGGAGTAGATGGTACCTGCAATGTCACCAAGGTCTTCTTTCTATTACTGTTGCATTGTGACAAAAGAATACATATGGTGACATTGTGGAGCACATTATATTTCTCTGTGTCTAATTCATTGAGTTTTTTTCTTGAATTAGGAGGAAAACAAAGTTGTTAGCATTGATGGTTATGCAGATGTGGCACAATCAGATAGTTCTCTGCTGTGTGCTACTGCGAAGCAGCCAATCAGTGCCGGTATAGATGGTTCTGCATTGGATTTTCAACTATACACTGGTGTGAGTGTTATTTTTTCTGATGTTCACTTGACCATTCACTATTGCAGAAGTAAAAACCAGAAAATGGATATTTCTTTTCATAAACAAGACATTTTTTTTTTTCATGAACAGGGCATCTATGATGGAGAATGCTCAAGTGATCCAGATGATATTGATCATGCAATTCTGATTGTGGGTTATGGCTCAGAGGATAATGAAGATTACTGGATTGTAAAGAATTCATGGGGAACAACATGGGGAATGGAAGGATACATTTATATAAGAAGGAATACTGATATAAAATATGGAGTGTGTGCAATCAATTACATGGCTTCATATCCAACCAAAGAGCATACTGCACCATCACCAAGAAGTCCTCCTTCACCACCATCAACACCACCTCCACCGCCACCGCCACCGCCACCATCACCTCCTTCTCCTTCACCAAGTGAATGTGGAGACTTCTCTTATTGTCCAGCTGATGAGACATGTTGTTGCCTTTATGAGTTCTTTGATTTCTGCTTGACTTATGGTTGCTGTGAATATGAGAATGCTGTGTGTTGCACTGGAACAGACTACTGCTGCCCTAGTGATTACCCCATTTGTGATATTGAAGATGGACTTTGTCTCCAGGTAAGAGATATTGTATCTACATTATAGCTTCTTGTATTCATGACTCTGGTTCTTTATATAATGGCAAATTTGTGTTATGTAGAACTCGGGAGATTTAATGGGAGTAGCTGCAAAGAAGAGAAAGATGGGAAGGCACAAGTTACCCTGGACCAAATTTGAACAAACAGAAAAGACTTATCATCTCCTTCAGATGAGGAGGAATCCATTTGCTGCAATGCGTTGAATCTGAAGGCTATTGTCAGTATCACTCCTTTATAATATTCTCTTTTGTTTTCTCTTATCTAGCAGCATCCCTTCTGCTGCTTGGATTTTCCCTATATTATGTACCATGGATCATCATATCTATCTATGATGTAATTCTTCCTGCTTCTTTTGCTTATAAATTTATCCTCTTTTAATCAAAGGATTCAAGATCATTTAAGAAACCTTAATGGAAGATAATGAGAAAGTGTTTGTGTATGTAGCGTACATATATGTAAATTTGAGAATAGAACTACGAGGGAGTGAATTTACTATATTTTTTTGATAATTTAATGTAACAAATTTAAGAACAAAAAAATTTAGTATTACTTTTAAATATGAGTATTTTCTTCAATTAAATATTGATCTTGTTTTGTTTTATAAAAAATATGAAGAGAGAAAATTGAAGAGAGATTAACAAAAAAGAGACAAAAAAAATTATATTAAAATGCAAAATTTATTTTTCAAGTAGTATCTCATCTAGTTTAAAGTCTAGAGAGGGCTATAGCCACGTGATGTGGGTTGGATCTCCTATATTCATAATCTTTTATTCTATTCCTTTCTTACGTTCAATAAGACTTATCTAAAAAGAAATAGATTATTTTACCTATCTTTTTTTTTTGTCTATCTTTACCTATCAATCTCTATTACTGTTAGAGATTCTGATCTAATGATATTTTAGAATTGTAGACAAAAGTAAGTAGATAAAAATGTAGGTAGAATAACCTAACCCTAATAAAAAAAATACTTTCTTTTTGTTTTGAACACACAAAAAAATAAACTACTTTCAACTTTGAAGGAAGAAAATTGGTTAGGCTATTGGACTGGTCTCAAGTCGGGCTTAAAACTAACTGTGCCATAACTTGAGAGCATAATATTTAGACTTGGGCCCAAAACTTAAAGTCCAAATATTTCTCCACTTATATGGGCTGTTAAGAATTGGGCAGTACCCATGTTCTCGATATCGAAGCCCAGATAGTACTGTCTTCATTGGGATTTAGGGATAATATACGCGTGGTTATAAAAATATAAATATATCTTTCAATTTCCGGCTTTCAAAACTTCAAGTCGTTGCCCTGATAACGTGGCAAGTGCCTATGTACCCAAAAAAAAAAAAAAAAAAAAAAAGTGGTAAGTGCCAAATGCCAAGTCCATTCGGATTAACATTAACTTAATTTAATTATATTTATTTCTCTTTCCCACAACTTTAATTTTAATTATTCAAGATTTGTCGGTTTATTGATCACTTTGACCCTAAAAATGGAATTTATTAGGTAAATAATCCTAATTTTATATGCTTTACTATACCTAATCCCATTTTCATGCTTTCGTACCATCTCAACAATCTTTGAAGGTTCAATTTTCCCTTCATGTGCAATACACCCAATCCATTTTGTCGTCCTTTCCTAGTTATTTGGTAAAATTTGTCTGCAACCATCATCAAACTGTTTATGTTTTCAAGAAAGAATACATGAGTGTCCATATATAGCTCTGTAATCTAACAAATCCATAGGTCAGTAATCATACCACAATCATGTAGCAAGCGCAGAATTATAGTTTCGCTCTCAGCTTCCAAATCCACGCATGACAATTTTTTCGTTTGATTATTATTATTATTATTTGAAGATATTTCAATCGATTCATTGCTTTGCACTAGTTCAATTTGGGATGGGTCCTAAAATTAAAGTTTTAAATTCCTCTCAAAAAAGATACTGGAAAGGATCGAATACATCTTTTATTCTCATCTACTCAATTTTTTGACACCAATTGAGTTACATTCATTTGGTTCCTTTTTGTAATTGAACAAGAAATATGATTATTGGATAATAAAATATGCCATATAAAAGGGTTAGGGGAAAATCTCACTTTTTTGTTGTTTGTCGAAAGGGTTTCATTTTAAATGTTCAAACGGGTCTTGAATTTGTATTTGTTATTAAGGGAAAAACATTAGTTAGGGCCTAGGGGTGCGTCCAAGCTAATCAATAAATTAACATTGCACATATTCAATATGCAGAAAAACTAGTACGCCTTAACTTTTGACAAAAGAGCTAGATTTCCTCAATCTTTGCTGCAAACACAACAGCCAAATATATAGATTTTACTTTTATTATATATTTCTTTAACTTTTTTTGGGGCGGGGGTTAGAAAAAAGGTTCAGGGTAGAGGGAAAATGTTATTTCCAAGTTTAGCGAGGGCTTATATTCGTGGGGATTTCTTTGTCTATAGTATTCAATCTGCAGTTCAATTATTGAAAGTTGAAACCATACACAGAAAATTTATATTTCAATTTAAATTATTTAATGAATAATCCAGGGAAATGTTATACATACTTGTAATTTGTAGCTCAGATGGTAAGAACACTGCAGAGATAAGAAACAATGTTGGTACTATTTTACTTCCATAATAACCAGCCACTTTTTGGTACTAATGTTACACATTGGAATATAAGAAAAATAATTTTAACGCCATGCCAGTGCCAATAGATTCGATCAAGTTGTTATGATTTTTTCTTTCTTTCTTTTTTTGGGTTACAGAAGATGGCCAAAGACCAACTTGTTATGATTTACTTACGAATCTGTATGATAATATCAATTATTGTGCATAAATCCACTTGCTCTATAACAAATATGCGCACAATCCCTATATTTTATCACCTAACAGCATTCTATCATCTTTTTATTTGAGGAATTGAAGTCCAATTCATAAATGGAAAACTCTCGTTATCATTAATCCAAAATCAAATTACTAAATTTTCTTAATTTTCATTAACTTAATTTTTTATATAAATTAGATTTATTTTTTTGTAACGTTGGGTTGGATTGAATTGGCAAAATGTTAATCCAAAACATACTGATTAGCTTAATTTAACTCAGCTCAAGTTTAGCTCGACCTAAAGCAACTCAATCTATTTTTATACCTCAAACAAATCGGTTTGTGAGTTGAACTTGTTCTCATTAACTATTTTAGCGCGCGCACTTTTAATGATGAAGATAAGCTTGGAACATGTTTTCTTTATCACTGATTTAAATGATACAGTTTCTTTGAATCTTTAATAAAGGCTTATTTTAAGGGTTGAATTGTGTACTATTGAAATATATATTGTTAGTAAACTAAAAACAATTTGAACAAAAAATTCAAAAGATGTAATTTATTCTTTATATAATATTTATGGGATAAAATATGATGCCTATTTTTTTTCGTGTTTACTTTATCTATTTATCTCCAACATAATTAGATTAGAATCTCAATTAACATTTATTTATTTTTTCTCTTTTTAAAATTATGATATAATGGTATTAGAGAGAAGTAAGTATAGTAAACATAATATCTTATCACAATATTTATATGTTTAATATTTAGTATTATAAAGGATAAAAAAATAAATATTTTAAGTTCAAATTCCGTGTATGCGATTTTATAAAAATATCATTGCTCTCTATAATTGGAATTCTAACATCGCATTTTATGAGTTAAATTCACACATACATGCTATTGAAATAAATAACATTTATAAAACTAAAGATTTAGTTCTGATGTGTTGTTAGTGTAAAGTTTTTTTTTTTAATATCATCCAATCGCATATTATCAAATCATTAACGGAGTTTACAATCATTAATTGCAAAGTGAATTTAAACACTTAAATTAATGAAGTACATTCACACCATTATATGATTATATAAAAAAATTACATTTAAAATATGTCAAAATTTAAACACTTAAATTAATAAAATTTCAAGATGCACTTAGTGGGTATATTTTTGTTTACTTTCTTCGCATGTGTTTGTGATTAGAGGTTTAATTATGTGCTGTACGAGGTAAAATCGGCATAAAAACATGATTGCACTCAATAGTATTTATAAAAATAAGTTAATATTTTAACTTTGTTGTATCATGGATACGGACAAAGAAAAAGACAATTAAACCGCTTATCTGGATGTTAATTTGGGGTAAAAACCAGAGGATTATATTTAAATTCCACAATCTCTGCATTGTAGTATTTGAAATGTTGATTGGTATGTGGGAGTGTTTCGTGGTGCACATGGATAAGGTTAAATGAATTATTTTGTTTAGCCTTTTTACTTGTCAATGTCATTCTACAGCATTCCTTTTAATCAATGAATTGTTTTGTTCTCAGCGTTGTTTTCATGAGAAAAGGAAAGTAATTGAAATAAAGACCAATGAGGGCCGTGAAGCACGTACCACAGTCAAGAATGGCGGACAACAGGAATCAAAAGAATCAATCTTGGTGGGACACAAACACAACGCAAGAGCCCCTTTCTAATTTCTCATGTTCCCACACCAATCCGTGGCGCCTCCCGCAATCTAAGGGCTCTATTGAGGGTTTTTTAAGTGTATATTCTATGGAATTATCTATACTGGTGGATAAACAAAATGTTTCTTTTGAATAATGATTAAATAAGGATTTTTTTTTTCCTCTCACCTTTTTTTTTTTTAAGTTGACAAGTTGTGTGTAGGGTTTTGTAAGCATTTAAATAGGCTGTTCTACTTACATGCTGCTATTGAGGTTGAGGATGTGAAGATTGCATTCAACTTACACGCATAAAATGAAATATCTTGTTACAACAAGAAAATGAAATATATAATTAGTTAATTGTCTAATATAATAATTATATGTAATAAAAGATCTCTGTCTTTCTCCAAAAAAAAAAAAAAAAAAGACCTCTGTCTGCATTTGTCTAATATAATCAATTCGCGACGCCATTATTCAATAATAGATAAGTGGAAATGAATACATTATATTAAGAACCCATAATTTATTTATTAAATGGTTACATAAATAATATATCCCTATTTCAACTAATTAACAATCGACAATAATTGCAAAAATGGAGGATGAGAGATTTAAAATGAGTATGGGAGTCAAGGGAAAAGGGGATAGGGAGACGTTGAGAAGGAGGGAAATCGTCGAAGACTTTGCTTAGCAAGGAAGGGGTCACGGGTAAGGGTGTGGACTAGTAGCCGCATTGCATTGTAAGTATCCATAACTCCATATCGCTCTATTAGTTTTCTAACATATGTGGAATGGAGCGTCATATTGATTGCTCTCCATATTCCTGAAAATCCAATATAAATTCTATAGATAACCAAATCTTTATAGGTCACCAAATCTTATTTATTTTTATAGGTAACCAAATCTTATTTGAGATAGACCAAACTCTTATACCTATCACCAAATTTATTATTCTTATTACCTCTCTTTAATTTTTGGAATTGAAGTTTAAAAAATTGACAGCTATGTCTATTCTGATCTAAAGATAATTAAAAAAATAATAACTCTAAATTCGTAACCCTAAGTATAAGAGATATGTTATTCTACCTATTGTAACATTCTCGTCTCGAGCCGGTTCAATTAACATATATATGATATAAACAGAAGCAACGGAAGACTTAACTTACGAAGATACGAGTTAACTTTTTCTTTTTCTTTAATCCTTTTTCACATGACATATCACATTGCATACTTCTTCTAATTTAATTCTTATTTGACGGAGACGAAAATCGGACAGAGTAACCTCTGTAAATCGGACAACTGAGGATTTGCAAATCCCACTCTCAAGGTACCCTGATAGACAATTTATACAGTATATACTTTCAGACATACCAGATATCCATACAGGATCATATACCCATCCATGGGCGCATGCATAACTTGGCTCCGTGCCACTATGTCTAACAGCATGTAATCCAACACATAAACTGAATACTACATCATCATATCAACATGCCTGAATACTCAAATGTACATGCATTCAGCTGAAAGACATGTACAAAACATATACAGGCCATATACAAAATAAAGGATCAGACATCATGATCACCAAATGAATAGAACACTATACAACAATACATGTTCTCCAAAAATAACATCTATAATAAATAGTAGCCTCCGGCTACCTAGAACTCCATATCCTCATACTAGTACCTCTAGCCACGGGTAGTGTCCTTGTTCCATGAGGGCTCTTCAATTAACTTTGTTCCTGAAATCATATCCCCAAACGGGGTTAGAGACGAATCTCTAGAAAGCTCTAGGTCTATAGAGAACTCTCCATACCCTGAGCTCACTTTCTGCATGACAGTCAGATACATAATATACAAAACATCATATATCATACTATACTGAACATATCTCGTATAACATATCATATAATCAAATATCATAACTAAACAAAGCATATACACAAATCTTATCAGAGACGCACGCAGTCATTCCCAAGGGATGACCCCAAGCGAAAATCAACGCACGTAACAAATATCATATACAAAATCATCACAATAATCACATCAGAACAAAGCATATTATATCAGAGATGTACGTAGTCATTCCCAAGGGATGACCCCAAGCAGAAATCAACGTACGTGTTCCCAAGGGAGGACCCCAAGCGGAACCAAAAACATATCAGAGATGTACACTATCAGTCTCGAGGGATGACCCCAAGCAGACATCAGTGCACATAGGATCAATGGCCAAAGATCATCACATAACAGAGGTGTACACAATTAATCCCAAGGGAGGACCCCAAGCGGAAATCAGTGCACATGTTCCCAAGGGAGGACCCCATAAACATAGAGCTTACCTTTTGAAGCTTTACCAATTTGCTCACTTGTAACACAAGTTACCTATTTAGCTCCAAAGGAATCCAAACATGCTCAGTCCCTAGGCACACCTAGAGAAAGAATCCAAACAAAACTCAATAAAATACTACAAGGTCATGTAGTTACAAGACATGCACTTTATTATTTACTTTTGTTTCTTTATATTTATGCCAATACACAAGTCATAACCAGTTTTCTTTTTACTTAATCATATTAGGCCATGAGGGAGTGATTCTTTATTCAACAAATTTCCACAAAATTTCACATATTCACTTAGTCTTAGGATAGTCCCAAAAGGCCTTTAGAACACTCATTACTCCTCTTCGCACCTATAAGTCTATTTTTCCCAATTTAAGGCAAAGTGCCCATTACAAAGGAGCTATAAGATTTCTCTTTGTCTAGTGCCTAAACCCAAGCTTAGCCACCTATATAAATTATTTTACGCATAACAGTATGCTCGCTTTGCAAAACAGTAACTCCTAGCACAAACCTCCTTTGAAAATGGCATAATCACATATAAGGCCTAAAGAAGCAACTTACTCATTTTTCTTTTTATCTAACTCAACCAAAGGTTTAAACATCTAATTATATAGTCCTTAGGTTGTATAAGTACTCATTATCACAAACAAGCACTCAAAAAACATACTTCTTTTGTAAATGGCTAAGAGGCTCATAAAGGAAATCATGCCAATTTCATGATTCCAATGCTTTAGTCTATAAAATTCAAGCTTATCATACAACCATAATCATCATTAGGAAATAAAACCCTTTTTACACATTAATTCATCCATTTATGCCTCAAAACATAAGATACCACTAAGCATCATTCAATTAATTCACTCAATTCCCAACTTATATATACATATAAATCTTCACAAAGTGTCCAATTATTTTTTAAACATTAAACCCTAATTTTTACACCATGGCTGAACCTAGTGGGAGGAGGTGCAAGGGACTTTTTCAAAATTTCAACACATATTCATACTCATTTCACACTATAACGTCAATACTCACTCATCATAAATTTCAATATTCCAACTCAATAATATTTCATAACATATGCTCATAATATTCAAAACTTAAATCATATAAATCAAACCATTAAAATGAGGATTTCTTACCTCAAATCGCTTATGCAAAGCTTGGAGAACAAAACCCAAGCTTGGTTCCACCTAAAAATTCACTTCTCTCACTAGGATGAATAGTAACCAAATTTTGCGAGGAAGAGAGCTCTTCACACAAGTCTTTTCAGCCTAAACAAAGTAGTGTGATGGATTCACCATGATCTATACTTAAACTTTCATGTATGACACTTTGTATTTTGGTGGCTAGATGAGTGAGAAAGAGAGGAGAGAGAGAGAAAACCTAACCCCCCCCACAACCATGAAGCCTCGGGTGAGAGACAGGAGACGATGACAGTAGCGCGAGAAAGAAAGAAGAATTTAAAGGATTTCATGATTTGTAAAGTTAAGTTACTTTAACTGGGTAACGATTTATCTATCTACACACCTTCATTTAATACCAAACTTTACCCAATGGACTAGAATTTTTTTCGAGTCATATTACTAACTTTACTTTCACTTTTCGGGTAGCTTTGTTTACCCGCATTTTTACCCCTTAACTTTCATTTTAACCCATTTTTCACCAAAGGTGACTTTATTTCTTTTACTTCTAATTATTCTTCAATATTAAATCCACAACTACTAGTGAGGGTTATTATACCTTTTTTTGTTTATCTTTTCCTACTACTTTTTAACATTGTTAGATCAGAATTTTAATTAACATTTATCTTTCTCTTTGCTGTGTAGATTTTGATCTAACAGTGTTGAAGGGTGATAGTCAAAGATAAATAAAAAAAGAAAAAGGTAAAATTACATATCCCTAAGTATAATTGCTCCAGTTAAAAAATATCCATATTGTGTTTTTAAAAGTCCCTCTAATATGGTAAGAAACCCTTTTAAATTTCATACGGTCGTTGTTGTTAAAATCTCGATTTATCATTATGATTTTACGTTTTTATGATTTTTTTTCATCAAAACAATTTTACCAATATTCCAAAGGCTTTTACGTTTTTATGATTTTTTTACATTACGATTTTAAGTTTAACAATTTTTTAATCTCCTTTCAATTTTACTTAAGATATTGATTTTAACAACATTGCATAGGATCTGATTCTTAGAATTATTTTATGAAAATAGTAAAAACATATTTAATTTAAAAATGTCGGATTAACAACTGGCGCAGTTTTTTTTTTTAACTCCAGAAGATACGTGTCCTGTATAAAAATATGTTGAATAAATTAAGTAAATTTAGATATTTAATTTCTTGTTTTGATGTTCAAAATTTCAAATAACATAACACTATATTTATCATTTTATGCAATTTGATTTTTTTATTTCTATTGTTTTCGTGCTTTGGTTTTCGTGAAGAATGGATGTCTCGGGATCATAATCTTGCTTGTCTGAAAATGAAATGATTGAGAATGATGATTAAATGCCGCGTGGACTCATATACAGAGAGAGAAAGAAAAAAGTTGTCTATTTTAAAGACGGTTGGTCCAAATCTAAGGGTGATAATTTAATTCGCGCATAAAAATAAATTAGAATGAAAATACGTGTTTAATTTTTTTCAATATTTTATTTAAAAATGTTTTAAAATCTTAAATTTGTTCTGAATTAAATTAGTTGCGAAATAATCGACGGATAAAATATTTAAAAGAAAAAAAAAGTTTGGTCCACTGCCTCTGAAGACCCTCTGTTACCACTAATTCTTCCCCGCGATAGTCCGTGACCAAACCATCACTTCATATTCAAAGCTTCTCCAATTGGTTTTTGCTTGAAATCGTCACTATTTAATATGATAAATGTAAAAATATGGAATTAGATTAAAAAAAATAAATTAGATTCTTTCGTACTGCTACTCCAAGAACATGGTAATAAATTTTCACTGTTAAAATAACCAAAAAAAAAAATGCTAATAAAGAAAGAGAGACGTGTATGAGTATTAGTAAACTTGATAAAGCAGAAACAGTAATTTAGTATTTATTTAGTATTACAAATACAAAGTGCACTGAGTGAGTATTTACTATTGAGTATTACAAAGACGTTTTGGACTTCATTCTATTTTCGCTATATGTTTCACGGGTTTGTCACTTCCACACCGTAAACTGAAAATGCATAGAAAGTAAAACAAGTGGAAAAACTAAAGCTTCTGTCTCCATCTTGCTCTGCTTTTTCTGGCTTTTCTTTCGTCCTACTCATTACCCCCACTCTTCATGGCATCATTTAGCAACCAACCATTCCTTGTGACCTCTTTTATGATACTCTCTCACCAACTCGTGTTCGCTTATTACTCCTTTCATTATTTTCTCAAAGTAATTACTTCATTTCCCATTTAGCTGCTGCATCACCATGCTCACTAAAGCTTTCTCTAGCCACTGATTACTCAAACCACTTTCCTACTTAGTTTGGTCTGCAAGGAAAGTGTTTTCTTGAAGGACATTCTTTTCTTCTGTGGCCAAAACCATTGTTTTCATGCTGTTATTCAAGAGGTTTGATCTTCTCTTTTCTTAGTGTTATTACTCAAGTGGGTCCTTAAATTTAGCTTGTGTTGTGTTTTTTTTTTTTCTCTGCTTAATTGCAGAGAAAATTTAAGGTCATTTCAGTGATCAGTACCATGTCACGGACGTAAATTGTGTTCAATAGTTGTGTCTGTGGTGCATGTCTTTGTTCTTAGTTCAAGTCCTGTTGAACTGAAATAGAGAATCTGCAGATTTTTTTTGTTATTTAAACTGTTAATGATCAGTTCTTCTATCTTTGTTTTTTTCTTTTCCAGATTTTCATGATTGGATTGGAGGTTTCTTACCAAAATTTTTCAGGCCTCGGCGCTGAAAATTAGTATGTGATATATTATTGTCTTGGAAGAGGGCTGCACAGAACAGTTTTACAATTTTGGAAGAAGATGGCTGAAAGGAAATTGAATATAAATGCCCCTCTTATGTCTGTGAGACGCTCTTCTGCTACTTCACCATCCTTAACTGAAGCAAAGAAGAAGATATTGGAGAAACGCCACACTCTTCCATACTACAATTCAGACAAGTCCTTGGATCAGGTAACAAAACCTGTTGCAGTTCCTTTCAATTGGGAGCATATCCCAGGAAAACGCAAGGGTAATGGTGGATCTGAACCTCAACCTCCAAAGGAGGCTCCAATTACTCCAAGCCCAAGGCTTCCCCCTGGAAAATCTATCAGGGCTACCAAACAGCCTTTGGAAAAGGAACGTAAATTTGCAAATAAATTTAGGTCCTCAAATAAATCAAAGTCTTTAAATAAAACTGTGGTTAAAGTAGATTGTGATAGAGAAAGAAAAGCTGATAAAAAAGTTGAGCAAAGAAGATCCAATGTGGAGGAGGATGAAGAGGAGGAGGATGTTTATTCCGATGCCCTTGAAACACTGTCACCTACAGAATCATTCTCCATGAACTGTAGTGTAAGTGGTGTAAGCGGGTTAGATACTTTTGATGCAAAGAAATCTGGAACCTTTTCTACAGATCAACAAACTAGAGACTTCATGATGAGTCGCTTCTTGCCTGCTGCTAAGGCTATGACTTTACAGCCTCCTCAATATTCTTCAAAAAAGCAATCTGTACTAGTAGAACAACAACCTAGAGATGTTAACAAATTGATTCGCATGGAAAAGAAGCCCTTGCTTGACAATCATACCACAGCTATTATACCATATACTGGCAAATGTCAAGAGGAAGAAGAAAATGAAGATGAAGGTGATCATTATGATTATGATGACAACAACTCTGCTAATATCTCAGCTAAAGGTTGCGGGTTGTTACCCCATTTACATATTAGGAACTCATTGTGCTTATTAAATCCTATGGCTGGGATGAAAATGAAGAGCCAGGTTCCCTTGTCTTCTGCCTGTGAGGTTAGGAAACCTAACAAAAGCTCTCATGTTAGATCTTTTAGCCCAGTTCCAGCTGTAAAGAAGGTAAATGCAATGACACTCCTTTACACCAATTTTTTCCACCCTTCAATCCTTTTTGTAAATCAGCATTCTCAGTGATAATGTGTTTTAACATATTTACTCACAATCATGGGTCTTTCCTGCAGGCTTGGGATGCAATTCACAAGAATAAATCAAGCTCTAGAGCTTCATCACCTGAACTGCAAGAGGGTAGGAAAAAATGGAGTAGTGAATCAAACAGGTTTACTTACTCAGGTGAGTTATCTCCCTTCTGTCGTTTAAGAGCTGCTGCAGCTGGTGTATCTCCATGTCGAAGCAAACCTCAATCTCCCTTTCGCGGAGCAAAGTTGCTTTGTGATTCTAAACAGGTTGAGAATAATCTATCTGGCAAGTTGAAATTCCACAGCACTGAACTTGGAAATATTCAGGAGGTGCTATCTAAAGGAGCCAAAAGAAATTCGTATTCAGGAAGCCTCACAATTGAAAAGACATTGTACATTGATACTGCAAGTACAGTCAAATTACCATCTTCAAATTTAACTTGTGTAGATAACAAACGGAGGATAGATACTGTGGTTGAAGAATTAGACAAGAGAAGGGGGAAAGAAAGTGATTCCACCATAGCATCTTCTCAAGATATAAAACATGCACAAGCTTTGGAAGAAAAGGACACATTGGATTCTAAAGTGTTAAGTTCAATGGATGCAAATTCAACTTTGTCTAGTATGTTACATCTCATGCCCAAAGAAGATAAAGATGAAGAATTGACAACTGATCAAGATATTAACCAAGAATCCGCGTCCTTGCAACTTGTGCAAGGGACATTTTCTGAAGATTCAAAGATAAACAACCAGCAGATTGTGTTAGCTAATGCTCCAGCAAAAGGTGGTGGTGAATCTGCTGTGTCTCTTCTTCCCCCACCATTGCCAAAATCACCTTCTGAGTCCTGGCTTTGGCGTGCCCTGCCTTTAGTTTCCTTCAAGAATTCAAATCATGGGACTCAATCCCATGCTAAAAGGCATGATTCGAATACAACATCCGGCAATATCAAGTGGGAAACAATAGTGAAAACTTCGAATTTGCATCATGATCATGTACGCTATTCTCAGGTAACCTTAATTAATCCTTCTGCTCATATTTGTGTCTACCTCAACTCTGTTAGTGACATAGATGAAAATTCACATTTAACTTTCTCTGCAGGAACTAACCACGCATAAATCTGAGCATTCAAAATCTTAGAGATGGAATTCAGTGACTTTACATTCATGTCATGGTCCAAGCTTTTCGTGTCCTCTTTTTTAATCACGCTTTTGGTAAGTAGCCCTCACCCTTTGGATTTTTGGCATTATAGCATAGGTAAACATTTGACATAGTTGATTAGATTTTCCCTCGAGTTAGTTAATGTTTTTGGATTTACATCAATTTAGTCTTTCAAAATTGATCATATTAACCTTAAAATTTGACTCAATAAGGTATATTTACGTCAACTTTTGAAAGATTACATGTTGTTGTTAATCGAGCCTAATTTAAAAGAGTAATGCAATGAACTGATGTAAATTTCATTTACAAGACTAAATGTAAACACGCTGTTTGAAGACCAAAATATCAATTCTATTTTTTACTTTCTATAAGATATCATGTCATTGTTATTTCCTTTTACTTTCTATTTGATTTTGTTCCCAGCTGTTTGCTTCGAGCTCTGACACCTTTTGATTTTCTTGATATTGTATTGTATAGAGAGATATCAAAATCATTTTTGGTGATCATCAAAAGGAAAGCTTCTTTTGGACTTGTGGCACTTTCGGTGGATTCAAGATTTCTTTACCTGGCCTAGAGAAGTGTGTATCTGCCAGTATTGTGTGCCTTTCGTTATGTTATGTTAAGTCTTCGCTTCTTACTGCTTGGTAAGAGGAATGATCCTATAAGTTCCCAAATCTGGTGCAAAATCTTCACTTTTCAGGGATCAGCATTTTTGTTTATGTCACTGACATGAGTGATTACTGTCATTCGTGCTTATTGATTATTTCCTTTCTTATACTCATAAAAAAAACATTTCTTCAAAGCATTTTAGTCTGTTTTTTCTTTGCACTTTCAGAAGCTTATGTCCAAGTATGTAAAACAGATTAATTCTGAACTGAGATGAATTTCAAGTTCTCATGCATTTGGAGTATTTCTTGTCTGATGTTAATAGTAAACCTAGCACAGCAACAGGACAAAGTATTTGTCATCAATTGCAGCCTAGATATGTTTGTAACCTATATTAATGATATGCTCTTCCATTATGATTTTCTTAATCTCTTTGTTGATTATGCTTTTCGAGTGCTATTAATTTTGAACCATTTGACTAATTTCAACTTGTCACTGCCAAATAACTCATGATTAAAAGCTACTTCTTAAACATTATCATGCAAAATAGACGAGTAAATATCATTTGTCTATCACTCCATCCTAATTTCTCTCCTTACGTATTTACATTTAGGGTTAGTATTCAGTTGTGCCCTGTCATATGAGCATTTCCAAATTACATGTGAAAGGACAGAGATGGCGTGGTTTTAAAAATATGAACTTATTAAGGTTCCTAATTCGGTTATTTTTAAAAAATTATACTAATTAAGAGCCCGTTTGGATGGATTCTTTTTAGTCAAAAGCTATTTTTTTTAAGGTAAAAAAAAACACTTCTATCATAAAATTAGTTTGGATTTCTATTAAAAAAAAAAAAAAAGCAGAATTCACAAAAAAAAAATTAAAAACTTACTTTTTTTTGGAGACTATAAATTTTAGCTTAAAAAAAAAAGTAAAAGTCAAAAGGCAAATATTTTTTCAAAATCCAAATATTTTTTAAAATCTAAATAACTTTAATTTTTGTAAAATGTTCTTTTAAAATAAATATGACATGAAAAGTATTTTTTTTTTTCATTAACCCATCCAAACGGACCCGAAATCAAGGATACCATATTCTATTATGAGATTGGGGGAGGTTATACTTATGACTTATTTTTGTTTACAACCTTTTATAATTATATCTTAACTGTTGATTTCCGTCAATTAACAGTTATTATTTTTACAAATTAAATTTATTAATTAATTATTAATTCATAATAAATGATAACCGTTGATTGATGAAAATCAACGGTTAAAATATAATTATAAGAGATTGTAAACGAAAATAGACGGTAAGATTAACGAATACGTTTTATGCACTTCATTCATTCCAATTATTGTTATTGCGGCTTGGCTCAATGAGGATTAAACCAGTTTCAATTGTAAGTCTCTTTTGTTAGGCAATTTGCGGCACTATGACTCCTCAGTCCTCACTAATGTTTGTGGTGTATACCATCATAGCCTTGGAATGTGGTCCTCCCCATAAATTGTTAAAAATAAAATAAAACAAAATCCAGTTGATTTGAGCCACAATCTGGTGTCAGGATGGTTGAAGTTCTTTAATTTTCTTGCATCATAGATGCACATGGCAAAGTAAGAATCTTCCTTTCGCTTTCTAGTGTTTAATTGTTGAATTATAACATCGGTTATGGTTCATCAAAATTCAAAGATCTTTACGAGATTATAGTTTCAAGGATTTAATGTTTATGTAATGACAATTAAAACCTCTTCTGATACACCCATCCAACTTTGACAATAGCAACCAACGGTAAATTGCAATAGCAGTTAATTCTAATACATCATCATCCAATCAATTATGGAAGCAAGAAAGTCTAATTTTTATTAATGACTATTTATTTAGAAAGTCCTTTTCAATAATGTGTGATAGGGTAAAAAAAACTTTACACAGTTCATCAAATTTAAACCCATATTCCAATTAGGCCTCTCGGTTCACAAATTTGAAGCTCGAGTATTTATTAAATTCAAAATTAAAGTAGGGTGGTGACAATTGAACCCATCCTGTGAATCTATATAGATTGAACTTGGAGAAATTAATGATAACGGTGTAACATCTACTAAGATGATGGCAAGTTGACAAAAGTGACTGCTGCAGGATGCAGGGACACAAATCAGGAGTCAGGAGTCAGGACAACGGTGGTAGGGACGAAAACGACCTGTTAGATTAACGGCAATATGAGGATGTCGGTAGTGATAACTGACAAACCATGAAATTATGCAGAGTGGTAATCTATTGCTTATAAGAAAATGTTGGTGACAAGTGATTTATTAATTTTTTTTTCTCCTCATTCAAGTGCAGAATTTATTTATTTTTCATCCTAAGCATAATTATTTGTTCGAATATTCAAATATGATGGAGTTTACATTGATTATGGGTTGAACTTCGGTTGAGCGAAACATATTAATATGAAATTTCATACACCACAGGAAATTATTTAGATATTCAAGTGTTCTGTTAATTGGTAAGTAAAAATCATGTAAGTGGAAAGATTAATAAACGTAATTGGATCTTAATCGCACAACATTCGAATATAATTTCGATACGTACAGAGAATACTTAACCTTATCAAGCTCAATCAAAATTATTATTTGATTATATATTATTAAATTATTAAAAAAATTAGATATCACAATAAAAATCTAACTTTTTAAATGGTCTTTCTTACATGACATATGACAATATACAAAACCTGAGCCCATTGTCCACTACTGATGAAGGACCCCGACCATAAGTTCTCCTTGTTTTTTCTAAGAATATAATCAATCATAAAATTCTTTAAGTAAAATGATTTAAATTTAATGAGTATGGATGACCAGTTTAAGTATTTGATTTTCTTCAAATATCTAATCTCTTATTAGTTTTACTGTTTATCTAATCGATTATAATAATATTTTTCAAATAATGTCAAAAATTCCAAAAAAATGATTTTTTTAGAAAATTAGTGCTGATTTAATACTAATTGAACTCGATTCAGGACTTTTTCATCGCCACACCGATTTCATATCAGGTGAAATGCATAATCTTTCTAATACCTAAACCGAATGGGTCAACCCATTAAACGTCCAGGTCGCGTTGATTTTTATAAAATTGGAAGAGATTATTGTCAGTTTCTTTTAACATATTGATTTTTTTTTTTTTTTTTTGTATAAATCACAAGTATCCGTCCTCTTTGGGACTAGTCTTGGATTAAGACTTTAAATTCCTTTCAAAGATGATAATAAGGAGAGTTGAACATATACTCTCAACCCCGTCTACTCAACTTCCATGGGCCAATTGAGCTCTCATCGTTTGTTAATAATACGTTGATTCTAAATGCACAACAAAAATCCATTAATTCAGCGTCAGGTTGCTTAATGTCATAAATCAAAAGCTAGCAGATGAATAGTCAGAAAGCGCCATGGCCCTACTTTTACCCATCCTGGTTTGAAGGTACACACAACCTTTAATGAGCAGAACTGAAGAAGTGGGAAGGGGTCATGGGAATTTTGCTGAGAATGAAATAGTGGGTGGGACACACATAAAGATTCATCACCATTGTTCAGCTACGGCAGCATGTCAGAAAGTTCATACAGGTCTCCAGCTACCCTCCCAACAGAGAGAATGTTCGTTTCTAAGGTCCATTTTCAAATGTTTGAAATGTATAAGGGGATAGCCCAAAAAAATAAATAAAAAAAATACTATGCAAGTTCTTGCAATAATTTTATATATTTTTTAAAATATTTATAAAATTTAAAAGTTATAAAATTCATTTTTACTTTTGAAAATCTTAAAACATGTTTTATATAAGTAAAATTTCAATTAAATTTCTACTAAATCAGATTAATTCTGAACTGAGATGAATTTCAAATTCTCATGCATTATGAGTATTTCTTATCTGATCCTGTTAGTAAACCTAGAACAGCAACAGGACAAAGTAACTGTCATCAATTGCAACCTTGATACATTTATGTAACCTATATATATAAATGCTCTTTCCTTTTGGTTTTCTTAATCTCGTAATTGATTATGCCTTTCGAATACTACGAATTTTAAACCATTTGACTCACTTCAAGTTGCCACTGCCAAATACCTAATGATTAAAAGTTATTTCGTTATAGGTTGAAATCTCAATGTTACCATTATATCAAAAAAATAACTATTTCATAAACATAATCATGCAAAATGGAAGAGTAAATATCATTTATCTATCACTCCATCCTCTGACAATTTAGCCTAGTGTCCAGTTGTGCCTTGTCACATGAACATTTCAAAATTATATGTGAAATGACAGAAATGGCGTCGTTTTAAAAATATGAACCCAATATTCCTCATTCGGTTTTTTTAAACAATTATACTTACTGTTTATAAATCGAGGGTACCATATTCTATTATGAGACTAAGATTTAGGCACACGTCTTATTCACTTCATTCCAATTATTGCTAATGCGGCTTGGTTCAATAACTAATAAGGAATAAACCACTTTCAATTGTAAGTCTAAAGAATCCCTCTTTCGTAGGCAAATTGTGATCAGTTGAGCTTTAGGGGGTGTTTAGTAGGGGAGTTTGGATTTTTTTCCCGAGAAAGTTCACATGAAATTTAAAGAAGACCATGTTTGGTAGGAGTTTGTAAAAAATTTGCGTAGGCTTCTCATTTACATAGAAACCAATGTGTAAAATTGCAAGAATTTGTCAAATTCACAATACCACCTAGGGGATGGTATTCTGATTTTGACTGGAAAACCAAAAAAGTGACAATGTTTTTTTTTTTTTTTAACTTACATCAATTTTTTCGGTAATATTTCGGTCTGAAGACAATTTTGTTTTAACTTTCCTACCAAATTCATTTTTCCATTATATCCTCAGTAATTGAGTTTATCAGGTAAAACAAATTTCTTCTATCTCAAACGCTCCCTCAGAGTTAATGGCGAATATTATTATAGCATTAAGTATGTGAATCATCTGGCAGCTATTGTTCAGCTTAGTCGATGATATCGATTTTAAGTCAAAACTTTGTAGGAAGAAATCTATCAATCTTATCCAATTCGATCGGTTGGATTAATCATATAATAGATAAACTCAAGTTACTTGCATTAATCATATAATAGATAAACTCGAGTTAATAGAACAAGGGTTTTATGTTTATAATTTAACATAATATAACTTCACTTTCCTACACACACATTAAAGAGGTGGGGTCCACATGTTTTTCTTTCTCTTTCATCATTCTACTTTCTCTCTCCATTTTGATGTGAGAGTTGGAAACAACAATTACATCATGTTACATAACACTAATAAAACCCATAGAACAATCTATAAGCCGTACAAAAAAAAGAAAAAAGACAAATATTATCAACCGCGCGCCTTAACATCTCGTTTTTATTATAGTGAATAAAGACTCTGGATGTGCGCTCTCCAGTCCACACTCTTCGCTTTAATGTTAAACTTCTTCCAGTAGACACGAAGGGAATACGCAAAAATAGCCTCATAAGTTTGATGATGGGAAAATAGAAGAAGAATTTTTTTAAAAATAATTGATGTAAAACGTTTTACGCAAGAGAAATGATACCTAAATAATTTATAAACATAAAAAAGTTATTTATTTGTACATTAATTTTTTGTGTCAAGATTACTTTATTTACATATAATGGTTAGCTTACTGATTATTTGTCTAAGGTAAATTATTATTTTGAGTAAATAATAGTTTTTTTAAAGAGTTTGTAGAATTCCCCCAAAAAAGAAGAAGAAGAGTTTGTAGAAATCTTTAGATTGACTGAATGTTTAAAAATGATTTATTGGGATAAAAATACCTATCCTTTTTTTTTAAAAAAACAAAACAAAATATCTTATTCTTTTACCAACATAATTCAAATTCGTATTAAACAACTTTTTTTTTGGTAGGAAAATTAAACAACTTTTTAACTCTAAAAAAATTGTACATATTTTTAAATTAAATTAGAAATTAATTTATGAAATAGCATTAAATTATATGTCTAAAATTTTCTAAAATACATGTCAATAGATTTTATCTATTGACGAAAGATTTGAATATATTATATTAGATTATATATTAGATTCTCATTTGTATCTAATTTTTTTTTTCTAAATCACTTGTCACAACAATGTAATATGCATCACTGCGAAACAAATTAAAGTCATGACAGGACAGTTTACCGAAAAAAAAAAAAAAGTCATGACAGTACCTGATGACAAGAATCAAAGCACTTGCCTAAGCAATAATACACAGTAGTCATTTTCGAAGATAACCAACTTTATCCGATCAAGAAATTCAGAATTTGCAAAGCCCTTCCTTTCTTTATTTTTTGTTTTGTGCGTGATCAAACCAATCATTTTCACAAGAACAATCGCTAATGGGAAATCACTACATTTCATTTTACAGTCAGATCAGATCCTATTTAAGGTTTTAAAAAAAAAAATAAAAAAAAATCCTATATACTAGCAAGCTCACTATATGGTCTCGTTGGGACATTAATCGTCTACCTGTTTTTCTTGTTTGGATGTCATCTCCCTGTGTTTATGATTAGCTACGTTGTGGTATATATTCGCATTAATATTATTGACATTACTGAATTCTAAGAAAGTGAAAGCTTAGTGCTAATTTCTTGGGTTTCTCTGCAATGTTCAATCTTGCCATCACCCGTTCCATCTGTGTGACTCAAACCAAGTTGCAAATGAGGCAAGTCTTGCTTGTCTTTCTGCAGTTTCTCTTCATTCAACTGCATATATAGCAAATAATTACTATGAACGGTGAAGAAAGAACAAACAAATAGATGAAAATAAAGTGCATGTTCTTATTTTGTTAAACCCTAATTTTACCTTAATCCGAAATGGGGGATCAAATGCTAGCTTTACAATATCATTGGGATGTGATAGATATTCTCTGATACTTGTGTTGTTCCCAGTGCTTCGTTCAACAGCCTGTGACCCAACAATAACATTGGCAGGTGTTGTTTTGAACTTATTGGATTGATGATTGTTCATAATTTCTAATGGAGGCCACCTTTTCTCTTCAAGAAATTGGCTTGGTCGCATGGGTGCAATTTTGCCTGATGTATCCATTCGTTGAATTTGGTTTGAAGCTATTGGTATTCTTAAAGGTTGATGATTCAAGTACCAATGCTGGTGCCTAGAGAGATTGAGAGAGAGAGAGAGAGAGAGAGATTTTGTTGAGTGTTCTTCTTGTAGAACCATGTATGGAAAATTAACAATAGAAGAAGGATTTCAATATAACTGGTGGAATCAAAGTTATTTAAATGTTTGCATGGTTTACCTTGAGTCGGTGGCGTTTGTATGTGAACGTGATAGGGAGAAAGAAGGCCGTAGGAGACTTTGGAAATGACTTTGCTCGTTGCAACTACTTGCTAGGATAATTCCACCATTTCCCATCTTGAAATGTTGATGAGGATTCATGGACTGATTGAATATTTGAGATCTACGAACTACTTCTTGGGTCGATGATCTGTATGTTTGACTTAGTACTGCAAAGTTAATATAAACTGAATTGTCAAATTCAAGAGATATGGCTAAGGTATGGTAACCCTAACCCTAAATCCTTCAGCTATCACTTTTCTTGATCAAGAGCCGCAGCATAACAACTTATTCATTATTTTATCTTTTTTTGTTTTGGTTTTTTAGTTTTCTATCTACATTAAGCATCAAAGTGGATTATGTAGTACACCCCCCTCCACCACAAAATAAAATAAAAGCAAAAAAAAAAAATTGAAATTTATATTCTTACATTCCTTTAATTACTTGTTTAAGATCAAAGTTTTATTCTTAAACGTATTAGCTTTCAAAATAACACAATTGCCTTAATTTATGCAGTTAATTAGTTAAATACTTAAGAATAGTTGTAAAGATACATAGAAGTTTTACATACTGATGGTGTAATCATATAACTGTAAAATCAACGTACATTAGTTGCACTAAATTTTTTTAGGAACTTGTATAGGATAATGAAAGTTTGATATTAATTATTGCAATTAATATTATTAGGAACACACTATATTTTGCAGAGAAATTGCTTTTAAAAGTTAATGAATAACCACACTCACAATTGATTATTGTTTGAAAACAATTAGTACTTCCCTTGTTCCGCTCACATTTAAGGGGGAAAAAAAATTATAATATCCATTGTGTGTATGGATTCATTAGTATTGCTACAGATAAGGATTTAGGATAGTCCTTACCTTGCCCGGCCTCGTCAAGTTTCTTGCTTCGATACATCTGAAATGAAAATTGAATAGTGATTACACTATCTGTGGGAAAGAATATATCACCTAATTAAGTTGTTTGGAATGGACTAATGGTAAGGAATTTAGTTCGCACAGTATTGTATGTTCAAATTTACCTACAACTATTAATTGTAACAACAAAATCAATGTACTATAAGGAAAAAAACTAATTCAATGAGTATATATCTCAAAACTCAATTCGTGCTACCTGCAAGTGACTCTTGACATGAGCAATGCTTAGTCCTCTCACATTCATTAGCTGAAGCACCAACTTTGGTGTTGCTCCTGTACCAATTAATGCAGATAGTTCAACCAAATGTTTTAACTTTTCACTGTTAAAGCAAAGGCTTTATTTCACCCATGACAATTCGTACAATTCAGGTATATATATATATATATATATATATATATATATATATATATATATATATATATATACACGGCTTTAATGTTTCAAAAGTAAATGTAGATAAGTTATCTACATTTGCTGCTAAAACGACGTCATTTTGAGTTGAAAAATTAAAAAATTATAATGAAAAAGACTACTATAACCCTGAAATAAATTATAATTACAAAAATACCTGGATTTCCGCCTCAAAACGACGTCGTTTTGGGCTCAATGTAGATAAGTTATCTACATTGAAAAAAGAGAACTCTATATATATATATATATACATATATATATATATATATATATAGATAGGGTTATGTTTATCTCATTTTACATGAGATAAACAATTTTTCTACACACAAAAAGAGTGGGTCCCACCACTCTTTTTTTCTCTCTCCTCTTACGTATGGGTCTCCTTTTATGATATATATATATACATATATATAATGTTGAGTACTAATTAATTAAGGCTATATATGGTAGATACACAAAATCTTACTCTCTTGACCACCAAGCCTTTCAACAGCATGCACAAAGGAAAGATGAAGCTCAGGAGTCCATCGAAGCCGAGGCATTTTGGATCTAACATATTGCCTAACTGCACCTTTTCTCTCATTTCCTTCTGTTGATGAACTACTTCTATTTGCTGAAGTGCCCTCATCCTTTGCTTTCTCATTCTCTAATTCCATTGTGAGTTCACAGGCTTCATTGTTATCTTCACTGCTAGCTTCTTCATTCAAGTCAAAGGAAGAACATTTCTGTGAAGATCCTGATGATGTTTCCTCAACTTGGTCCTCACTACTCCTGCCACTCCTCTCATTATTATGAAGCTCATTTCCTTGTGACATGTTTATTTGTTGTTGTTGTTGTTGCACGGGTTCACCTCCAAGCTCCCAATTAACTTCTTTGTCCTTTCCAAAATTGGGGAATTTCATGTCTGAAACAAACATGATGAATATATATATATATATATATATATATATATATATATATATATATATTTAATGTGCAGCAAAGTGGCTTAAACAAGAATATGTCAAGGACAGGCTGTAATTTCTCTAGCTACAACAATTACTAAGCTTTAAGACTCTTAAAATAGCTGCACCGAAATGCTATGAGGTGATAGTAAAGCAACAGTGAGAAGTTATAGCAAAAGACTTTTATTATAAAGATCCCTATTACAGACAGGTACTGTATCATAATACCGTATAAGTAGTTCAAAAGTCAAGACTTTAGTATAAAGAATGCAACCAACTTCTCTACCTTGAAGCTGTGAAAAAAATTCTGATGAATGCCAGGTTCAGATCTACATATTTAAAGAACTTTACCATGTTAGTTAAGTACCTTTTGTAAATCATTAAATTGAAGTTATGGAATTGATACTCAAGATACATGTAGAAAGGGGAAAGCATTGAATTGAGAGTTGAGAGGAAAATATTCAAACAATAAAACAGGTGCAAATTATGTGTACAGACGCAATGGTTTTGGTCATTTCATTTTTTAAATCAGGAAAATTCAACGAGAAATGGTTTTCATTTAACCACTGAAACATTCAATGGGTTAGTGAGAAACATAAAAAGGGTTCAGATAATTTGGAACACGTGATGAGGTAGTATGTTCATAAACCTATTGCTACTTCTTGCCAACTAATATATACTTGCGTTTTTTTAGTATCTCATGTGAAATGGACTTTCTGGAAAGAACAACGTGAAGAACACACAGATATCAGTCACTTTTTTACTAGAAATATCGGCAAAATATGATTGTTGATGTGGAGAAAGATTTTATTATTAGGTACACTTAATTTGGAAAGATATATATTCAAAACAGTGCTACTCATCGTACACAAACTCAAAACACATCTTGATTAGACAAAAACACTTCAGAAGGAAAAAGCAAGCGATGAAAACTTTTCTTTTGGACAGAAGTTAGAAATTGATTCGGAAATCTTCAACAAGTTGTGCTTGAAGGAAGCATAAAAATATAAGAAGAAAAAAATAAATAAATGAACATTCATGATCCTAAGAAACCCCCAAAAAGGAGATGGGGAAGAAACTCATGAAGAGGAAGGATTTATCACTTGATATCATTAATTAGTTGCTCAAAAGATATAGAAGAAACAAATAAAGCAAAAGCATAGAAGACTACATAAATCTTTTGGGTGTTTCTCCTTTTATGTCTTCCCTAAATATAGTAATACTAACCATTTAAGGTGATGGTGTGTCTTTCTCTTCCAACCCTATTGATCACGTGTTGTGTGCAACTGCATATCCAAACATATCTTCAATGATCAGTCGCCTCAAGAAAGATCCATCGCTTAGCTAAACTTAAAGATTGAACTGGATTTAGTCTTAATTCATATATGTTGTTCTTTGATGGATGGTGAGAGTGTGAAAGAAAGGGATGGGAAGAGGGGATATAATATTTGATACCTGGTTTTGGGATGCTTTTTTGATATATTATTCATTCAACAGAAGAATATAATAGACTTCAAGTTCAAGTTATAGTAGCTAGAAAGACAATTATATATGGTTCCAAAGGTAAAAGAAAATATTGAGAATAACAAAATATTCGAATGCTTAAGCTACTTGTTCTCTTTAAATGGTAATAAACCTACATAATGGATACAGATGCGGCTGGTCCCTTTTGTACTGTTGGAAATCATGTGACAACTACCACCCTTTTCTCTCCCCTCGGTTCTGTTCTGTCTCTTCTACCTCCTTGACAGTTGTTAAAATCAATCTCTCTCTCTCTTGCGTGCTCGTGATTATCTTAATTGTTTGACCTATGCTTGAGACCTTGCTTTGTTAGTGTGATATATATTTTGTCTAATGCACCAAGATAGCAATAACCTCATTGTGGGGACCAATCATTCATCAACATTTCAATTTCCTTCTCACCTAAACTAGGACTTTTTCCCTATTTCTACACCACTGTTTTCAATTTTATTTTATTTTTTACACATGTTTCCACAGGCCTCCTTTCCCATGTGTGCGTAATTATGACGTCTTATTTTTGGCATGTTTGAGGAGTATTAGAAATTGGACAACCTTAATAATGCAATAATGTGAAGGGTGCATGTGTTGATTTTAAAATAGTCAATTTTTGGTGGGAAATGTGCATAAACAAGGACGTGAAAAGTTTTGTTTTTGGGGCACTTTCAACAGCAACTGATGACAATATATATTATATCATAGATGCAGAACATCTGACAAATTGTAATTAACTTTTCTAATTGCATGAGCTACTGGAATCTTGACTATAACTTGTAGACTTCCATGCACGGGAAGGGAACATGAGAGGTTTATATTAGAGATTTATCAACTGTTGCATGCATCCAATAATGAAGAAAATAAGTCCCAGTCCAAGCATTGTTGGTTAAAATATACCTAGTAGCTTTACAAAATTTACTACTGGCTAATTTGATTATTTATCCACATATAATCATTTCAATTTTTAACCTATAAGTTTACGGGAAAAAGAAGTATCTTTTAAAAGGACATAAGCTTATGTCCTTTTAGGTGATTTACACAAAATCTGACTGGTCAGACTTTGTGTAAATTTAAAAAGTTACTTTTTTTTCTCTCCCCCTATTTATATCGCCGACGTGTTTTAGTGATTTTGTGTAAGTCACTAAAAGAACATAACTTACATCATTTAAAACGACAGATACTAAACCTTAAGTTTATTGTTGTTAAGTGAATGAATATAGCAAAATTTTTGACAATTGAATTAACTTTCTGATAGGGGGAGGGGGAAGTTGAAATTTTCATCAACTTCATTGACTTCAGATGCACCCAACTCTTTTAATTTGTTGAATACTCAACCATATATGGTTTAGTTTATCACTGTCAATGCTTCATACATCTGCTGATTTTTTTGTTAAAAAGGTGAAAAACGCTCAAAAGTTTCATAAAGGCCACAACCTCTGACGTCCATATTTGACCCCAGCTATTATATGTATCATTTGGTCCAGGTTACTAGATACATTGAGCTACTAATGAGTCAAATTTCAATACAGAGAAGGCTGAGGGAAAACATTCATACAAAATAGGTAATTGAAAATGGGGATGGTAGGTATGGCAGAAAGTGGAAAGTAAACAAGGAAAACTTGTCTCTCTCATAATATATGCTACATCATATGGGGCACAAATTCTGATCATTTCCCCCTCCAATCCAAAAGGGTTGTAACTTTCCAAGGCTCTCTTTGAATATGGGTTGCCTTGGAATAAATCTTTGGTACTACTGTTATACCTAGATTCAGTGTATCTTATCAATAAGAGCATTACACATCAAAGAAAGAGAAAAAAATTAACAAAAAAAATAAAAATTTAACTGACATGTATTATTTTCATTGGTGAGATGCACTGAATCTTTGGTACAACAGTAGTACCAAAGATTTATTCGTTGCCTTGAATCCAGCTCATAGATTTTGGCAGAGCAATTGGAATCAGCTGCTCATGAATCTATTAGGTTTGGTTGCATGACACCAAACTCTAAAAAATTGCTAATTTTGTTACAAATATAATATATAAAATCATTAATGTATCATTTGTTGGGGAATTTAAGTATGAATGATAAAAAAATCTCAAATTGAAAATAAACGAGTTAAGCATAATTCATATAAGTGAAATGATACATAAATCCAATACTTTAAGATTTTGAATTGAGATGGGTTAACTATGTAGCAATTGCATATTTATACAAAACACAAGGTTAGCTTTGTCCTATAATGTGCATATTAGAGTTGACATTCCTCATTATATTAGCCTCCATAAGAATCTTTCAAAGAATTAGGCGTCTTTTCTATTATTTCATGGATGAAGACGGCGAAACCTAGCATTTTGAAATACATCAGCGATCTACATCCATAAAATACTATGAGAGTAACAGCATAAAAAAATACCTTAATATCAATGTGCAAGGTGTTATCCCATTTGTCCTTTCCTGATTGTTGTTGAAAATTCGAAACTATTTTGACATAATATTATTGGGATTTGCATCTATCATGTCACATAATACAAAAAAAGTTTTCTACACACAACATTTTGTGGGGCCCGCACTTTTTAAAGCAAAGAAAAAATAAAATAAAATAAATTAAGACACGCAAAACGAATCTCTATGACATTACACAATCACTTTTCCTACCACATAACTTTTATAAAACCCAATATTATTATATAAAGAGTGACAGGGATCATTACCATAATCAAAACGGAATAGTTTAATTTGTACTCTTTGGACGAATGTAGTAGGATGCTTCCATTGGAATGGAGTTGTGTATTGAATATGGGAATCGACCAGTGATCGAGGAATGAATGTATGACCAAAATAATATCAGTATTATAATTAGTGCTAGGTTCCGGAGATTTAAAATTTACAAATGACAAATATTTTTTTGTAAGTTACATGCAGTCCTGATCATATACCCGTTTTGTACCTTTATTTAAATTTGACCATTTAAACATGTACCCCAGAAAGAAAAGACCATTTAAACTACTATTCAAAAAATTCTGAGCGATTAAATGGATCCAACCATAGAGTTGTTGGGAAGTAACTACAGTTACGGTTGTCTGTCAATAGTTTGATTCCCACAACAAAATATAACTTTGCAGATGGAAGAAAAACTTTAACTGTGACTATGTTTTAATTCGAAATTAATTTCATAATCGATTCAAAGAATCAAAATTTATAGGAATATTGGAGAACCGACTCGACTCAAAAGATGTAATTTTTATTTATACAAAATGTTTATATATTTATTATATTTTTGTACAGTTGACTAAATTAATTATCTGTTACTGCAATTAGGAGTGTTAACGGGCCGAGCCGAGCTTTGATCTTAAAAGGCTAAGCCTATGTTTAAATGTGTCAGTCTGACCAAGCCTGTTACCTGTTATAAATATTATTATCGGCCTGTGGCCTGACTTATTTACAAAAAATAAAAGCTTAGTTTAGCCTGTTTAAAAAAAATAACAAAAAATTATCCAAATAGAATATACAATCAACAACACTAGTAATTCCATAAATATCATAAATTCAATGTATACCAAACCACATAATATAGTACAAAATCATTCAAAAAATATGTTTAACCAATAAAATGGAATAAAATGGATTGAGGAGAAAGAGAGGTTATTACAAATAGTATAAAATATATAAAAAAAAATAATATACTAGGCCAACCTGAGGGGTTCTAAGGCCGAGCTTTTGAATTGAGGCTTGAGACATTTTTATTAAACGAGCTTTTATATAAGTTCAAGTCTGGTGCCAACAATCAATTTTAGACATATAAGTTCAGGCTTGCACGAGCGGAGCCAAAGGTCCCTGAAAGGCCCTTAGCTTGTTTAGCACCCCTAACTGCAATGTCTCAACTAAGTCAATAACCAATATGAGTTATGTAATTATGTTTCTATCTTTATATTCAAATTTAAATAAATTTTAATGGAATTTTCATGAGATAATTATATATATATATATATATATATTTAATACAATAATTTTATATTTCCAACTCACCGGTTTCGATGGTATTAGTACATCGACAAAAGGTTGAGGAAATTCTAACAAGACAAATTTATAAAATTTTGCACATGATTTAAAAAAATTGAAAAAAAATATTGGTTGACCGAAAACAATTATCCAATTCTTACCACTAGATGACTTAAAAACATTTCAATGGCCAAATTTTAATGCAATCAATCGATTACATGATCAAATAATTAATCACCATACTATATTTTTGCTAATGTTAAATTTGATCACATATTCCAAGAGGGGAATGTCACTATTGAATGACGAGAGCTTTTTTTATACTACTGTAATATATCTACATCATTTCTAAAAGGAGTAAAGTACGAGGATTTAAAGAAAAATATGAATAAAGACATGAATTTAAATGAAATGAAATTTTTTCAATTTGAATTAGGAGAGTACCGATCGAGTTTGATACTCTCATTGTATTGATAAAAAAAAAAAAAAACCCAGAATGGCTTGCTGGAGATGCTATAAAGCGTCAAACTGGCAAACACTTCCACCAAGAATTTCCTCAAGAGCTAGATAAGTTGCTTCTTCAAGATTTGTTGGGGGTGGCTAGACCCCGTGTAATGTCCCTCGGTTAGTTTGTTTCTTTGTTTGGGGCTAAGTCCCCTTTATTTTATTAAAAAAAAAAAAGAAGCATCGAAATACTTTTATAAATTAAAAGTGTGGGCATATGAGTAAGGAAATTGGTATTTTAACCTGAAGTTTTGAATTTGAGCATGAGAAGGAAGAAAAATGGTTTTGAAAGAATCGTCCTGTAAAGAATAATTTTGAGCATGAGTAAAGAATAATTCAAGAATACTTTTTTTATTTTTATTTTTTATTTCCAAAAAAAAATATCGTCCTGTAATGCATTCAACGGTAATCAGTGAACTGGTTGGTGTATAAAAAATAAGCTACTTTTATATAAAATTTAAAATTGATACAGAAGGCGAGAATAAAGAAAAATAATTTTTTTAGTAAAGAAGGAAAAAGTTATGTCTTTATGGTCCTTTTTTTTTCTAACAAAATAAGCAAAATAAATGAGACAACAAATAAATAAGAAAAGTGGAAAGAAATGCATTAAATTTCATCCTCTTCGGTTACTCTATCAAAACAAATACAAACAATAAATGGTGAAATAAAAAATGTGTTTTAATTTGGAATTCAATTAAAAGATATTTACATTAAATAGTTAAGAATTGTTTTAAAATTGATTTCAAAACTTAAAGATTAAAAATTAAATTCGAGCTTTTTTCTAAATAATAAAGATTTCATTTGTTTTCCACTTCCTACTCATATAAAAGGTTTGAATTGTATCTACAAAAAAAAAAATGAATTGTTTACTAAATACTGATTCCGTATATTAATTCCTCAGAGACTCGTACACCTCTATGTTATTGTTCCCCTCACATCTCTTTTCAGCAATATTAAATGAGCATGATTATATATAATTATATTTATAATTTTTTTTTTTTACAAATTCTTACAAACTACATATATTCCATGAGTACATAAAATAATTTATAAAAAATTATATAAAAAAAATGTATAAATATAAGCTATATACTTTTCTAAACAAGGTACAACGATCCATGCAATTTTAATGGTAATTCAATTGTGTTTTTCCAGCCTGGTGTTATTGGATTAGAAGACTGGGCAAGATCCCTGAAGGCCCTATTGCGCATCCACCGTATTGATTTCGTTTCTTACCACTATTCTTTTATCAACAAGTTATCTATAAGTACAATAACAATTTATCAAACTTTGTGGAATAACTTGAATTAGTAACGAGTCCTTTCTTAAATTTTCATTTAACCCAAAAAAAAAAAAAAAAAAAAAAAAGTAAAAATGGAAGTTCCTTCTTATTTTGACCAACACAGCAATAACATCCAAATACAATAAAACATGCATCGTATAAATTTTCATTTCCTTCAACTTGACTCTTCATTTAGAACATTAGCAGTAACAAAAAACAGAAGAACAATGGACAGGTGAAAGTGAGGATACTAGTTCTATCATCGCATATTAACTCCTAGACTCATACAATGTGTTTATTGGTTGTGTGTCAGGGTCTAGTTGATAGAGGTAAATGAAGCCTTGATTTTATTTTTTATTTTTTATTTTTTATTTTTTGCCTAAATCTAGCTATTAATTCAGGCAAACCAACAAAAAATGAAGGATTCATCCCCTTCTATCAATCTGAAGAACAACCATGTAAGCCAAAACTGCTTGAGTTGAACCACAAGAGTTCCGAACTGTGTTCAGTGCCTTCAACTTCTGGCCATGATGACTATTTGCTCATAGATGAACTAGCATGATCCATTCAAAAAGGTTTTGGCAATGCACTAGGAAAGTCATAATTTGTATGTCTAAGGAAGGTATTAACATCACCAAATATTATCATGTTGCTGTTATAATCTAAAAAGGGTAAGTAAGAACAACAATACAAGTCATGATCAACATTCACTGCCATCATTTATCATAATATGTACAGTTAACAGCCATACAAAGCAGATGGGACCTGCAATTTATATTCTTCCCCCCATATTTAGTTTCTAGGCAAGCCTGACTAATGTTACATAAATAAAATTAGTTATCTCCTTCATCGTCTTTTAGAGTAGGGCCTCTGTACTGCCCCTTCCTAACCACCAAGTCTTCAGGTGGTTGAATCTCTTCTAACCAGGTCATTTCAGAAGATTTTACCCCACACAACTGATCAAGCTCAACATCTTTTAACAGTAGGAAATGTAAGAAAACAACATGCTTTAGAAATCAATGTAGATTAAAAAAAAAAAAAAAACTGAGGACAATTGTAGGAAGAGAGAAGTACCTGGAAGATCTTTCATAGGTAAGTTCTGGAAATACGAGCAGTGTCGGCCATCTTTTGATGAGTAAGGGGGGGAAAGAATGTCAAAGAGAGCACATGGGGTTAAGGCTTTAAAGCAATGAATGTTGGCCCTGTTTGGATAAAGAATTGTTGTGTTGCAAGGTGCATTCATCTGGCAATCTCTGACAAGTTTTGCAGGCCTTGCTGCAAGTGTAGACAAATCTTGAATCTCATTTTCTTGTTCAGCGAATATTTAAGATTGGGAATTGAGAAAAATAAAATTGTATTGTTTCTTGAACTACATTGTTACTATCTAGGGATCATAGAAATTACCCATCAGACCATATAATGATCAGCAGCAAACTAAACAAAACATCTAAATAAAATTAGCATGCATGAATATGGAAGTTCATGATCCTCCATTTTCTGAAAAACCCAAACAACTTGACGTGGTTGAAAACATGTATCATTACCTGGCCATAGAATAACTCTCTGTATACTTACTAAAATAACATCCACTACTGGAAGTAATTTGTAAGATCAAATTATCTTGGGGAGATTCAAATACCAAGCATTGGTATCCGGTGACTTTATTGGACCGAACAAGTCTCTCATCCCTTCTGCGGCCTGAAAAGGCCCTAGCAGTCTCAAGACTACCCCACGGTAGTCGGCAGGTACAGGCAGGAACTTTTACAATTTCTAAAAATTCTACAAAATATTCTACCAAGATAGAAAGATGTTCAATCTGCAAGGCCCGAGATGTTATTAAAGATCAACCCCATCAACAGAATTTAGCAAAATCAAAAATGTATATACTAGAAAGAAAATTGATGCCTGACATATGTATAGTCCACTCAAATCATAGCATATGATGTCACCTAATAGATATCAATTTCAAGGCAAGTGATTGAATCTGGCATTAGACTTAAGAAACTTTCATCCTCTGTGAATGGCAATTTCAGGGTAAACTTTATTCACCCTTATAGAGATTCACAAAGATGGCTTTTGACAGTTACTAGTTACTACAAAAGATTTCAGAAAAAGAATGCCTAATATTTAACTAAAGTTGTTCAAGGATACAACTACATCTTATGTTAAGAATCACCATTTTGAAATATCCGTTAACAAATGTTATGGCATTAAAAAAGACCGTAAGATATGTAAATACAGTAAAGAGCATCACCTTGAGATTGATCATATGACCCAGGCAAATCAAGCCAATCATATGATCTTACATGTAATGAACCATAAAGAAGCTTGCTTAAAACAGTCATTCCAGGATGATTATGAAGCGGAATAATCGAACCAGGAAGCATACAGAAGATTCCCATCTGCAAAAAAAATTCCAGCCTTGTGAATCCAACTTCCACATCTAAAATTCAGGGTGAAAGTCTCAAACTAGAGTAGTAACAAGTATACACAGTGGACAAGCAGAGAGAACAAAAAAGCTTACAGAGAATTTGTCACATTCATGCAAGTGGATGTATTTAATAGGGGGTGGATACTGATAACTTCCATTACGCCCCTTTCTGCCATTAGTACCATTCAAAGATCTTTTCCATCCACGTGCCAATTGCGCCTCCTGTTCGAGACCCACGTTAGAAGGCTTCAACTCATCTGAAATGGCAGTGGCGCAGTGCAGTTCATGAAACAGTTAACAAAAGGATGCATCCTTGACTATGGACTATCAAACTAACAAGCATCTCAAATCAAGCACTACATCATACACTTCACAGGCAATTTCAAAGGAAACATTTATGAAAGGGTAGATTGTACAAGTTTAAAAAATGGATCAAATTCTACCTAAAAGGGCTCGAACTTTTTCCAGAGCTTCTTCTGATATGGGTCCATCAGGAGACAAGGATGCCTTGCAAGTATCATATAATTTCTGAACAATTGGCATTATATAATATAGCTACCAACCAATGCTTCTTAATCAATCTGAATATGCAGTAGCTGGATTTTCACGAGTCAATCAACCAAGAAGACTTGGATGCAAACTTTGGATCAGTTGACTTTTATATCAAAAAAGCAAAAGGAAAAGCTTCCTTACTACGCAACAATACATTTGCATCATTGATCAGCTCAACTCCATTCCAGAGTATCTACGAGCACCTTGACCAGTGAAAATTTACAACAAAAATTAGAATAAAATGAGTACAGAGCATATCACCTTCAGTTGCATTAAAAGTTCTCATCTTTAGAAACATCACAATAAAAGAAGGAAACTTTTTCCTCGGGAATCTTAATGGGTCAGAAAGAAGATAATGGAAATTATATTAAACGAAATATAATAAAACGCAGGAAGGCATAGACAGACCAAAACCCAATTCAGGTGTTGAATGAGTGTATGAAACATGAAATACCTCTTCCTCGGACGCACGACAGCATCGAGGAGGGACCAAACCAGAAAACAAAAGACACTTAGCACAAAACCAGGTATGGCTTTTAGAATACCACCGGTTTGTAAGCTCTCTTTGGATTAAGGCATGGAAAAAGAAAAGATTAGAGACTTTCACGTTTTGAGTGGGGCAAAGACAAAAATAAATTCGAGAATGAGCATGATTTTGGTTTATACATAATATTAAATTTAATATGTATTTATTTTTTTGGTATATCGTTACTTTTTCTTTCTTTATCTTTTTTTTTATAAGATTACTCAAACATTGCTTCGAGTTATACTCTATCAATGAGTTTCATATTACTTTTTGGAAAAAAATATCTTTCTTTTTAAATGATGTAAAGTTGTGTCATTTTAAGAGAGAAAAAGATATAAATAAAAGAAGAGAGAGTTGACAAAAAAAATAAAGATATGTGTCTCACCTCTTTGTGAGAGTATAAGGATATAAATTATGTCATTTAAAAAGATAAACATTTTTCCCTTATTTTTTTTATAAGCTCTAAAACACATCATAAAAATAATGTTCTTAATTTAAAGTGTATCTTAGTGTTTCCTTCTTAATTGTTTCAAAGTATTAAAATTTTGATCAAATTATTAACTATTGTTACTATCTATTTAGCCGGAAAGAAACATTCATTTTTCTGCTTGGGATTTATCAGAATGCGCAGTAATGAGAGCAAATAATATATCCTAAAAAAATTTAAAATTTAGATTCATCCTAAGGATATTTGGTAGAGGAGAAATTTTTTTTTACCTCAAAAATATAATTAATAAGAATATGGTGAAAAAATGAATTTGATAGAAAAGTTAAAAAAATATTTATTTCATAGACCAAATATTACTGGAAAAAAAAAACAATAATTTTGATCACAATTTTCACATAAACCGTAAATCTCAGGCAACATATTTTGCTCATATAATTTTTGTCAAACTTTGTACAAAATATAGTATAATATAATGGGTTAGAGAATTGAAATCCTATATTGTAGAGATAAAAAAATATGTAGGACCCATGTGTTAGAAAAAATTATATTTAGGACTCATGTTAGCACGAAAATCGAAAGATATGTAGAAAAATTTTAATTCTAATGTTGAATGAGAATTATAAAACCCTAATATAATACGCACTTACACTTCTCCGGCAATCCCAAAATCAACCTCTTACCAAACACTTTTTAAGAATAAAAAAAATATTTCACAAAAACTTGTAATTTATAAGATCTCATCACTGATTTAAAAATTACAAAAATAATGTTGTAAATAACAAAAAAATTTATTTAACATAAAAGATTTCGAAAATTGACATTAAAGAATAGTGTCATTTATTTTCCAAGATATGAAATCTGGTGCCAAAATTTTAAAACCAGCTTTAAAAAATTCAGTGCCCAAGATAAAAAGGAACCCCGTTTATATATCATTCATAAATGATGTCACTTTGGTTATTTTAGGGGATAAGTGGCGAATCCCTCGTGTTCATTACGGATAATTATAAACTATTATCCTCCTTGTGATTTGATCTCTGTGTGACATTAGATTCTTGACACTGTATTGTACCAAAAAATGTTTATTGTCACGGTATTAGGTCTCAGTTCATGAACCAAACCTGTCTGTCGATTGTACTTGGTAGTTGGTAGGTTCATGAACCGAGCTGAAATTCACTATTGTACTGGCGGCCATTATGATGAGAGGAGAATACCACAAGTGAAATAGTTGTCAACATTAGTTTGTTTAAAATGTCAAGATTAGACTGCCTTTTTTGTTTTGTAACTTTATTTAAAGAAATAATTGTCAACTTTTTTTTTTCCTTTGGTATGGGATAATTAGACTAATTCTCAACATTACGGATATTCTTTCTTATAATTAGTGTTCTCCTACAGATTCTAACTTTTGATATGATAAAAGTCTCTTAATTACTAAGTTCAAGAAAGCAATTACTTAAGCCTTCCAAGGGTTGAACTCGTAATTGGTCACTGAAGTTTTGAAAGAATTATTTTAATTCAAAATCTTAAAATATTGGATAAAGATTTTTTTAATGATTTATATTATTCTCTAATAATATGATAATCAGCTTTTTGATTTGAGGGAGGAATTTTTTTTTTCATTTTAAGATTATAATATACCACAAATATCAACGATGACTCGATAATACTTACAAACTTTCAGTATAATTCAACCATAACCTACACTGCCCAATTTCCATCAAGTACACTACTCATGACAAACTTGAATATAAGAATATTAATATTGTATTTTCCTTTATTTGTTATTTTCTTATTTTTAACTTTGCTGTTGTAACTAATCTGGTGCTCTTTGGTACCAGGCTGGCTCATGCATGTGCTGAGCACCTTTTTTAGCATTCTGTTATTTTTCCTTGTTATAAGTAGAACGTTCCCTTGTACTTTTTACTCACTTGAATGAAGATGAATATTCAGTTATATTTTTTCAGTACCTTTTCTCTCAACTAATATGGTATCAGATGAATTTGTTTAGCCCTTGCCTTTTCTATGGCTCGTGGCTCGAACACCGCTGCACGTCCTCCTCCCGTGGATTCTTCCTCTGGAAGTTCTCCTGCCATGGAGGATTCTTCCAGCCCTTACTTTTTACACGGGGGTGACCATCCTGGTTTGATTCTTGTCGCCACCCCTCTTTCCGGTTCCAATTATAATTCTTGGAATCGTGCCATGCTTCTGGCTCTTACTGCCAAGAACAAGCTTATTTTCGTTGATGGTTCCCTTTCTCGCCCTCCTTCTTCGGATCTCCTTTTTTCTTGTTGGAACCGTTGTAATTCAATGGTGATTTCCTGGATATTGAATTCTGTTTCAAAGGATATTTCCGACAGCCTATTGTATTTCTCTAATGCTTTTGAAGTGTGGGCTGACCTGAAGACTCGTTACTCTCAGGCCAATGGTCCTCGGATTTTCCAGCTTAAACAACAAATTGCTTCTCTATGTCAAGGTTCTCTTGATATCAATAGTTACTATGGCAAGTTGAAGGTCTTCTGGGATGAGCTTCAAGAGTATCTTCCCCTGCCTCATTGCTCCTGTGGCGCTCTTCGTGATATGAACAATCGCAGGGATCAGGATCATGTCATTCAATTTCTAATTGGCCTCAATGATTCCTTCTCCGCTGCCCGTGCTCAGATCCTGTTGATCGATCCTTTGCCATCTCTTGCCAAGGTCTTTTCCATGGTGATTCAGGAGGAACGTCAACGCCAGATCTCTGTTTCCTTACCGGTTATTGCTGCTCCGGAAACTCCCTTTATGGGTTCTGTCACCACCGCCGATCAAGCTCCGGCGTCCATGGCCATCACTACTCAGCGGCGTCCACGGCCCGTTTGCACCTACTGTCATCTCTCTGGACACACAAGGGAGAAGTGCTTTAAGCTTCATGGGTTCCCTCCTGGCTACAAGCCCAGGAACCCGAAGCCCAATTTTCCTCATATGGCCCATTCTCCTCAGGCCCATTTTGCCCATTCTGTTGCACCCCACCTATCTCAGCCCAAATCCCCTAATCCCTCATCCACCGACACACCTCTGGCTTTCACCCCTACACAGTATAACCAGTTGCTCTCCCTCATCCAACAGAGTTCTGCTTCCTCTTCCACCGTTGAGTCCTCCGTCGCTCCTTCCGTCGCTCCATCGGTCGCGAGCTTCAGCGGTAAGCCCCTTTTTCCTTTTCCTTCTTCGTGCTGGGTCCTCGACACTGGAGCTACCCATCACGTTTGTGTCTCCAAAGATTTTTTTGTCTCTTCTTCTCCATCTAATTCTCTGGTCACTTTTCCTAATGGCTCTTCTGCTGCTGTCTCTGCTGTTGGGGATATTTCCCTCACTGCATCTCTTTCTCTTTTGCATGTTCTTTTTGTACCCTCTTTTTTGTTTAATCTCCTCTCTATTCCTTCTTTAACTCGTGATTCTTCTGTTGTGGCTAATTTTTGTGCTTCTTCTTGTTTGCTTCAGGACCGTGTTACGGCCAAGCTGATTGGGATAGCTAAGAGATGCGGTGATCTCTATATTTTAGATTGTACCTCTCTTCCCAAAACTGATGTTCCCCATCCCCAGTGTTCTTCTGTTTCTACTTTTCCCCCTCCCCTATGTTCTTCTATTACTGTAAAGGATCCTGTTCTATGGCATTCCAGAATGGGTCACTTATCTGTTTCTGTTTTAAATTCAATGAAAAATGCTTTGGGTTTTTCTGATTATTTGCCTGTTTCACATCATTGTGCTGTTTGTCCCCTTGCTAAGCAGAAACGTCTCCCTTTTTTATTAGACCCCAAACTCTCTGCTTCTCCGTTTATGCTTGTGCATTGTGATATTTGGGGTCCCTTCTCCACTCACTCGGTTGAAGGTTCTAGGTATTTTTTAACCTTAGTTGATGATTCAACTAGGTTTACCTGGATTTATTTTCTTCGAAGAAAATCTGATTTTTCTTCTATTTTTCCTTCCTTCTACAATCTTATCCACACTCAGTATGGTCTTTCCATTCAGTCCATACGGTGTGATAATGCCCCTGAGCTCAATTTACCCTCTTTTTACTCTTCAAAGGGCATTCAGGTTTTCCACTCATGTGTGGATCGCCCACAGCAGAACTCTGTGGTTGAGCGAAAGCATCAACATTTGCTTAATGTTGCTCGCTCCTTACATTTTCAATCCAATGTTCCTCTACCTTTTTGGCAGGATTGCGTTCTTACTGCTGCATATCTTATCAACAGAACTCCATCCCCCTTGCTGGCTTTCAAAACCCCTTTTGAACTCCTTTGCCATAAACCCCCTTCCTATACTCATCTCCGGGTATTTGGCTGTCTTTGTTACAGCTCTACACTTCCCAAAAATAGACACAAATTCTCTCCCCGTGCCTTACCCGCTGTTTTCCTTGGCTACCCACCTGGCTACAAAGGCTATAAACTCCTTGACCTTCAGTCCAATACTGTTTTTATCTCTCGTGATGTTACCTTTTTTGAGACCATTTTCCCCTTTAAAATTAATTCTTCTTTGCCTTCTTCCCCTGACAATTTTTGGCCAGCTTTACCTCATCCTATTACTGCAGTGTCCCCAACCGAGGCTGCTCCTGCCCCCTTGCGGCCTCAACGCACCCACACTGCCCCCTCTCATCTTA